CGATAGGATGTAAATATAATATCGACTTAAATAAAATCACACCTCACCATAAGGAGTGCATAAATGGAGGGGCCTCCCTTATGGCGCATGGCGCTGCACCCTTCCAGACGCGGCCGCCATCATACTGAAGTCGCACGAGCAAGGGGTTCATAGCAGACACATGGAAAGGGGGAGGGCAAAAGAGGCAACTTGCCCCGGGCTATATGCCTGGGGACCTCCACGCCGGGACCCAACTAATCACGCTATTCATTCCCCATGTGCTGGACCGTCCCAAGATGGCGGAAGCACTTGTAACTCTCGAGGCATCGAAGGCCTCTCCAGAAACATCTATATACACTATGCATCTCATTGACTCATGAAGTAAAACGGCTAGAACCCAATAGATCTCACTCCTCTTTGGCACAGGTGGACCTAAACACTGATACTAACCTAAATAAATTCAGGTTGTTTTCTCAATAAGGCCGCATAGTTCCTTACTCTTTAATATATCTCCTAAAGATAACAAACCTCATGGGAGAGATCCTGGGGGGGGGGGGGAAGCAGCTCTCTCTCAGGCTGACTTCTCTCCCATAACCATGAGTCACCTTCTCAGGGCTAAGTCATTAGCTTCGTGAGGGTCTTGCTCTCTGACAGCGCTCATGTAGGGAGGATCTCACCATGATGGGCGAGAGTCATGTGTCGGTCCACCATATGACAGCGGGGCCCACCATACTTTTAGCTCCTATCTTAATATACAGTAATGAAAAAAATTGGAAGGGTTTCATTTGCAGAGGAGATCTAGAATGCATACACTCTTAGAAAAGGGAGGGAAACTGGATTAACGATTTTACTCTCTAAAAACGAGGAAGTACAATCGATAACTACTCCTTTAAATGAGCAGAATCCATAACTTTTTTAAGAGTGCGAAACGAAGAAGGGAAAGTTCATTTCAAACTAATAGAAAAAGTTAGTGGTTATTCTCAGGAAACAGGTAGGTGAGCGGCATTACTTTCTTGAACTCAATTCTATTTCCTCAACTTGATGGGAGAATGAGGAAATGAAGGACTGATATCGCGGACACTCCATGGAACCGTAAGAGGTGGTCCATCCTCTGACATGTACTGTAATCAGTACAGTCAGAGATAGGTCAACGCCTGTACTGTTTTCTGTTTCCTACCTATCTCCATCTATCCTTTGGACCTCAAGTCCTTGAGGTCCAAAAATTAAAACGAGAGCGAAAGCAACACAGTATCTACGAGTATGAGGATTTGCGTATTTGCATGACATCCCTATCTCCTTCTGAGGGGAGCGTTTTTGCTCACGGGGGAGAAAAACAATTTTACTCCTTGGTGATGGAACAAATTCGTTCCTTTCCCAGAGTGAAAGGGGAGTGAAACTGGAGTTAACGACTTTACTCTCTTTTTTGAGAAAAATCGCTCCCCTTTTTCTAAGAGTGTACGTTGAATGTAGAGCAAATAAATTACACATACATTGCATTGCAAATAAATCAAGCACACTCATGAGAGACCGTGAAAATACAAAATCGTATTTGAAATGAGACGAGGCCTTCTCCATGCCATTGGAGTGAACTTATTCATGCTATTGGAGAAGCAAAATCAAGACTGCAATGAACTATCGATTTTATTATTCAGGAATGAGCGATCTCAAGGACAGCTCAGCGAGAAAGATACATGTGGAATGAGTGTTGAAATGTTTTCCTATACTTTACATTCAGGTATTCTCGGAAGAGCACGGACCGATTCCTTTAATCGAAAGGGAGATTCAGACCCTGTATGATGCCCGGACTCGGGATACCTTCCTCACCGTGGACCCGAGGATCAATGCTCACAAGGGGGGATACAGACACGTGTCGAAGGTCAACGTAACCACGAGAAGAAGACTGGCCTTAACCTTTGGGGACTTTGAGGTGACTCGGTTGCTATCTTGGGATCCGGAGACTGGGGACGTGTGAGTCAGTCCTCGTGTCAAGCCATTACGTGCCCATTTTGTTCCCCGTCCCCGTTCCCCTACATTCACGAAAACTTTATTACCATGTAGATGTTCGTATAGAGTCTTCCAAAAGTCACTTTCGCTGTTGGCAGCTGTGGTAAGCACACAGGGTAATATAAGACTGGGAAAACCGGGTACTGGACCAATTTGATTGTGCAGAAGCCGAGGAGCAATAGTCAGGAGCTGTGATGGCATCATCTTCGTTCCACGTGCCATCACAGTGGAGATAATATTACCATATTTAGACACCCTGAACACACTCTTAGACATGAAAGATAGTTCATGCATAGAGATTCGGCTTAATTTCTCAACAAAGCCTGCGTACAATGTGCTTCTATGCATTGAGAGCATTCTAACCACAGATGGAGCACAGTTTATTATCACCTGGGCTCTGCATTGTGGTTTCAGAGCATGTGACATGATGATGAAGTCGCGATACCTGATATATTAAACGCATCAACTTCCGCATAGTTCAATTGTTCCAACACCCAGAACACTCAGTTTTTTAACGTCTCTCCATGTGCGCTCCACAGCTGTCTGAACAACAGTGACTTTTGGAATCCCCTGTACTTCAGGGTTCAGAGTCATTTTTGCGTGTCCGATCTACTCAAGAAGCACATCTTCACGTTCGGAGATGCTCTCTAATTGCGTTAAAGTACAGGTTCGATTTAAAAGTGAAAAAATATGAAATATATCTACTTCCCCATCAGATATTTCCTGGGAGTCCCGATATCTTCGCCGGAGCAGCAGCACGTGTATGTGGTGCGCGACTGGGGGACGGGGATCTCCTCGCAGGTGGAAGCAGGGTGCCTCACATGCCACGAGAGCAATAACTGCACCTATGCTCAAGCCTATTTCAGTCCGGCAGGGAAGCATTTCGTTTTCGCGTGCTTGGGGCCAGGCGTCCCGTGGACAACCCTTCGAGCCACTGCAGATCCCCATAAAGACATTTTTTCCATCGAGGAAAACGAGAAACTGCAGGCACTGGTGGCGAGTACGGCCATGCCCCACGTCCAGATCCTGCAAGTTCCCCTAAAGGACGGGAAGGAGGCCCGCGTGAAACTCACGCTCCCGCCCATCTACGAGGATGAGGACGATCTCAAGTACCCCGTCCTCTTTCAAGTGTGCGTTCTCCATACCGATTGACAGGCTTCAGAATCCCATGTACTGACGATGCATTGCAAACGCGCGCTCAGCTTTCGAACCGAACAAAACTAAGCTTGTGGAGGAAATAAGCATTGCGAAGAATACCGCAGTAACATCTCAAGAAAGAATTCACATGGCATCTTTGGGGGACACTAACTCACTCTGTTCTACTACTAGTGCAATGTCTGGTTCATATTGGACTGGACTGAACTCACTCCAAAAATATTGAATACTTCCATTAAAAAAAGCCAAGTGCAAATATATAACAGTATCGAAAGGTAGGGGCCTCAACTGAATGTACTTTCCGTTTTTAGGAAAGAGGACCCAATGGAACCAACGGTAACAGATCAATTTACGGTGGGGATGGTGGAATTCCTGTCCGCTTTGAGGGATATTGCCTGCGTTCAGATTGATGCTAGGGGAACGGATAACCTCGGTAAGGAGTACCGAGATGCCCTTTACCAGCACATCGGGATGCTGGACCTCAAGGACATTCATTCCGTCGCAGAGTAAATGAGTCTCTTCCATCGGCAACAGCTTCATTACGCCTTTCATCATTCTCTATGGAGTTCATTATGTATTGATGAACCGCGCAGGTACCTGAGAAATAAGCTGGACTTTCTGGACAGTCGTTCCATGGTCATCTGGGGTTCGGGTTACGGCGGATACGTGGCGGCAATGTCCTTGACCAGGGAAGCAAGTCCCTTTAGATGCGCGGCTGCTCTTGCCCCCATATCCAGCTTCTCCCTTTACGGTATAAAAAGTCCCTTTGCGTCTTATCCGTCATGCGAATGAAGTATGATTTCGGAAGCTGGTTTTTGCTCAGATGCTTATTTTTCGGAGCTGTACCTGGGTTACCCGAACTCGACGGCGTCTCGGAAGGCGTACTTCGAAAGCGACATCATGAGCGAAGTGGAGGAGTTCGGTTCGAGGGCTTTGCTTCTCTTGCACGGCACCTCGGACCGAGTCGTCCCCTTACAGCACACCATGATCCTTTCGAAGGCCCTCTCGCATGCCCTCGTCAACTTCCAGCAAATGGTGGGTCCAGTTACAATTTCTATGGCTGTTATGTTGGTGGTTACAATTCATGGTGGCAACATGGTGGTTACGATCAGAACGCCGCGTAAGCGAAATTCCCAGTTTTATTCCAGAGATTTGTGCATGCGCGCACAATCTAAAAATACAGTTACAACTAGTGAGAGTCGATTGATCCAAAAATTCTCAAACTGCCTTAGCACGCGAAAAAATAAAATATTGGAGCTGAACGTGACTTAGAATCTTTTCTCTTTTCACAGTCTAATCTGTGAAGAAAAACCCGCGCAGTTCTGAGGGGGAAAAAATATTCACTAACCACGTACTTTTCAAAATACGCTCGAGACTAAAGTAAATGATTGATAACATTGGAATATAGAATGAGCTCATCCCGTTCCTTATATCATTTCAATAAGTGCATCATTCGCCGTCCCCTTCACTGTTCACTTTACTGTTCGTTGCATTTCTGTCAGTCTTGAACCATTTTGCAACAGATTGCAACAGTAAAATGCTATTCTCTCTTTCTAATCATGAAACTCTTTATGCACTGTAAATTCAACAGAAACACCTCAACGCATCCAAAAATGCATATGGATCATAAACCGGTATGGATGCTTTCTTGCAGGTGTGATGTGGCATATGCATTGTACCGACGTCCCCCCGTAGATCCTGTGTTAAAAGAGCCGTTGGATAACCCAGCGATTTCGCCACTTATTCGACCCTCTGAAAAGCATTCGGCTATACAGAGACGGAAGTGGAAAGTGGGCGAGACATGCGCAATGTACTCTCTGCCGCAACCCCCTCTGACCTCAGTTGCGTGTACGTCGCGGTCTGGTGAAGGTCAACTCTCCTTCATTTAAAGCAGGGATGTCAAACATACGGTCCGCGGGCCGGATCGGGCCCACGGAGGTGGTTCATCCGGCCCGCCGCCTGTTCTTGAAATTTCTGCTTGAATTGACTGTCGGCACAGATTTCGATGAGAAATTATGGGTGCAGCCCGCATGCATCTGCAGGGTAGGGAATGCGGCCCGCCGACCGATTCGAGTTTTACACCCCTGATTTAAAGTAACCGATCAAGGGGGACTGGGTCTGAGATACCAAAGATGCAGCATGTCTCAACCACGAATATCACGTCTCGTCTCGACTTGGCCACCTTCCCCGAAGGGTTGGAGAAGCAGTGAAGTCCTCAGATCATCTGACGGCTGAGAGTCTATGGCTCCCGTGATTTGTAGAACAAACGATAATATCATCTCTCAATCTCGTGATTGGAAGCACAAAAAATAAATGTCTAAATTGCTAAAGGGATTATACATTTTTAGGATTTAAAATGCATTCAAAGTGTTTTTTTTATATTGTAATATGAACTAGATTCGGACGAGAGTACACCAACTCAAACTCACATGCCCATTAGAGAACCAGCAATCGAATCCAGAGAACACATCCAATATGAATCCAATATGTAAAAGAAAATTGGATTATCTGGATAGTAAAGCCAGACTGGTGACCTCGGCCCCCCCTGCTAGCACAGTCGAGCAAAAGCAAGTTTTCACACGCATTAGTATCGCCTCGGGCTATATTCACTCTCCACTCCCCGATCTATCCAAATGAACAATGTTACGTCACTGTGCTAAAAAATACTTGATGCCTTTACATTACATTCCTGCGCCGTAAATAAATGTGTCTTTCATGAGGGAGGGAGAGACGTATAACCAAAACGGGCTTCGTTTACACAGCGACAGGCAGGCGGCCTCTTTTTTCGATATCCAGTCGGGGAACCTCGGCTTCGCCTCGGTCCCCTCTCCTGGATATCGAAAAACAAGGCCGCCTGCCTTTGAGTGTGTGAGGCCCGTTTTGGTTATCCGATTCTCCCACCTCATTTAACCCTCGCTTCTCTTATGTGCTCTCAGGTGTTCATGGAAGCCAAAATTTTTACAGTGTGGGAACAGAGGCTTATTTGATTGAATAACTGTACCGGAGGGGGTGGGGAACAATATGGTGAACGCTCCACTGCTCCCATACGCAACAAAAAGAATCTGGAACTTTTGTGTGCTATAATTCAGATATAATAGAAAATTAAGCTCCTTGGTGATAAAAAATAACAATAATGTATTTCCCGTCATTTACAGATCTATCCAGACGAGGGGCACGGATTAGAAGGCTATCCCGAGCACGTCTTAAAGACCCTGGAGGGATTCTTTGACGACTGCTTTGACGACTGGATCGAACGGCACCAGGAATGGATGCCTTGATTACGTGACTCACGAAATGACTGAGGAGCTCATGTGGAATAGATAGGAAGCTCCGCAGTCAAGGGTATATTAGAAGTCGTGATAATCCCACCTCGGTGGAAGAAAGGCCGAAATATCATAATATCGCCTGAGGCTGTTCAGGCTCATAGTGATTACAATTCTGTCTGATATCGCCATGGAAATTAAATGTATTTTATTCTTGACTCCTCGTGTCGTTCGGGATCACGGATTGAATTCCTGATGGCTACCGAAGAAGCACTTTATTGGATGATCACTGAGGCTAGGACTAGTTATTTAAAGGGGAGATTCACCACAATTCGATCACTGGAGAGAAAACAAACCCCACTTCACTCTCACGTCGATCATCTCACTATTTGAGGGAATGTGGGTTCACAAAAGAAAGCATCACAATAGCACGTACAGAAGCCACCATCATCGTACCTAAGACAATATCGTAACCTTTGCTTTTTATGTTCTACATCTTTCCTTATTTTCCTTGGAGGCAATATTGCAACGTCCCTGGGCAAATCTAGAACTTCTAGGGCTTACCGACTTGCAGAATTGCCCTAGGGGGAATGTATCAATTGCAGAATAGTGCACCCGTTTTATGATTCCATGAGAGACCTGTTAAGAGTGTTGGAGACCTTGGAGTTCGACCGAGGTTTCTTGTTCCCGGTCTTCGGCTGGTAAGGTGGTGGAGGCGGCCTGTCCAGGTAGGACCGATTGGCATAAGGGAGGAGATAGGGAGGTAGATCCGCCTCCAGTGGCAAATTCAACTGCTTCAGCTTCATCACTTTGGTGTTGTCGTAGTTGCTTCCATCATCGCTTTGGACTTCGTCTTCCTCTTCCCTCTCCAGTTGCCTCATTTCCCTGCCCTCATCTGCACGTAAGAAGTCCATTTTTAGAGGCGGAAGGTTTTACGTTCCTTACCATGATCAAATGCTCAGCAATACTCCTTTGCACCTCGAGCGATTCACTGATAATTCAAATACTTGATTGAGTTACCATCACGTAGTCACTACGATCCATTGCCATTGGAAAACCTCTACCCGGTTTTGCCTGCACAATCGATATTGCGACAAAGCAGGAGACGTACCATCCCTGAGTGCATGGAAGTAGTCGGCGGTAAGAAGTGGCTGTCGGTTTTGCATGAATTCTTGATCCAGGTTTGGGAGGGAGTCAACAGGGGAGAGAGACTCATAGATGTTGTCCTCGCGCATTCCACTCCCCCGGGGACTGTATCGCTGCTTCCGGGACCCCGATGGACTGTGCCGGTTCTTCCTCTTCCCTTGTCCCTGTCGCACTGGTCGTGGATTGAGGGTCCGGAACTTGTGCACTACAGTGGGCATACTGAGGCCATCCCCCGAAGTACCAAAATCCTGGGTCTCCATCTGGTAGCCTGGGTAGGGCTTCCACAAGCTGGGCTCCTGTCGGCACCATCACAGAGGACCATTCGTTCTAGTTTTCACAGCCTTGGGCATAAAATATCCTAACCTCTTGGGTTTCAACCGGAAGACCAGACCACCAAACCCAATGGTTGTAATATACTGCATTTTATTAGGCATACATAGCCAGCCAAAGAAATTAATTATTTTATCACATCTATCACATGATAACGATGGCATATTAGATAATTCATTTGTTCATCATTTAGGCAGCAGTAAATTCATTCGTTTTCGAATTCCGTATTGGTGGGTCCTCAAACCTCCACTTGCATGAACGTTCCTTATAGATAAAAGATTTGCCGACCAGTCCCTACCTCCATGAAGTTGGGTGATTCAGAACGAAGGATAAGATCCAGGTCTCGAGAATGTCGAAGTGTTTCCCTCAGACTCCGGGTGTCCTCATCTGTGCTTCGGAAGTTGGGTTCAGAAAATTTGTGCTCTTTACTCCTCTTCAGAGTTCCTTCCCGCTCTAGATTCTTCAACAGGAGATTGTTGAGGAACGGGTCTGCGACTGGTTTCAAGTGATCACCTGCCTCCATGAAATTCATTTCAGCCTAGCGAGAAACACAGTATAACTACCCTCCCCATTTGCCTCAGAAACCTCTCTGAAAGATCTCTGATCATACTCTAAGATGAGAAGTCCCATTGAGAATATTCGTCGTGGCATATGGGGCAGGGGAAGAAGTCCTTCCAGCAGCACAAGGAGCTCCCATGAACGTGGTCAAACTGTTGATTTCCGCATATTCCCCTTGAACTCCTCCATTGCCTGACGCCAAGCAAAGAAAGTCAGTCGGCTGCTCAAAACACGGGTGACCGAAAAAGCATAAACTCACTGATGTTCATGTCCTGGAGGTTCACGATCTTGTCAGTGGTGGGTTGCGGCAGGTTTTCCTGTTGACCATAGACAGCACTCTGCCATCTGGGGTCGATCCACAGGCTTCCCTGGGCTCCACTTCGAAATCCATTCCCAGCTCCACCTCCCATCGTCGTCTGCTTCTCCAGGTCATTTACTTTAAATTCAAGGAATTTTCCTTTAATGAAAGACTGTCGTCTCTTTCGAGCAGAGGAGGGTTGTCGCAAATAAAAAAGCAGGGCAAAACGCAGTTCAGTAGCGAATACCCTTTCAGTACTTTCATTGGTGATGCAGGCGAAATGAAAGAGGATTTGAAGAATGAAAGGGAGCGTATAAAAGGTACAGATGAGAATGCCTCGCGTAATGTCTATTTGTGCACAGATGGTCGATATGTATGTAGGGATACGATAATCGCGCTGCTCTGACAGTTTTCGAACTCCAATTCATGCTGTTATAAACGTGCCGTTGGTCTCCAAAAGTAAATAGGCATCGAATTGACCACATTTGAGTCGTGGTGAAAATGTGACGAAGTTTGAAGCAGTAAGTGTAATAGTTTAGAAAACAACATCTTAGTGCGCCGACAGAGACATTCAAGAATTGCGCAAGTAACATTTTTATTTTTGTATTTTAAAGAAAGGAAGCTCGCCAAATAAATAAACATTTGAGCAAGAAAGTATAAGCGTAAAAATATATTCAGCGGACCTTTGAGGAAAGGCAAGATGTTCTTGTGAGCCAGACGGCGCCGAATGGAGACGAAGAGGACGAAGACTCCCAAGACAGCGAAGAGTAGGCAAGCCATCAGGGCGATGAACCAGACTTCCTGCACGACGCTCACCTTCGATGCCGAACCGGAGACCTCCTTCAGATCCGAGTTGGCAGGTGAAGGCCGGGATGGATTGGGGATGGCTCCTAGCCCTACCGGCTCGCTGTAGGGGCCCATCCCGGCCTCGGTACTCGCAGCCACTTGCACCATGTATGGGGTTCCTTTGGTCAGGTTATGGATGTGGATCTCCGGTCTTCCGGCGTCTACTGACAACTTCCTTTCCATTCTCTTCCCGCTCGTCTCGTTCCACGTCATCGTCAGCTGGAGAGTGGAGACGTTCCAGTATAGGTTTGGATTGGACTAGGTCCAATTTCGCCATTATGGCAGAACAGTGCTGGCTTACTGCACGGTCGAAGATTCCAGGTTATATGGGTTGCTAAGGGCTAAGCTATGCGGGAGAAACTCAAACCCTTTCGACAAAATGTTCCTATTATGCTGAGAACGTGCTATGATTGGTTCCACAAGAAAAAAACGTGACTCTTGCATAAAATGACTTTCCGAGTTCATGATGAAAAAGAAAATGGAATAGAAGCGTACTTGTTGGAAATAAAAACCGGAGGCAAATGCAATTACAAGTTTGACAGTCCTTTGATTTTTCAAAGAGAGAGGGAAATGGATTTTGCCAACTTTCTTCATATATAACATCTGAGAGGTGAGCGTTCTTTTCTTCTTTTCAGGCAGTACCAATTTAAAAAAAAAAATGTGTATCATCGACTAGCCTGGTTCAAGACCGAGGAACCTACATTAGGTGGTCATTTACTGTCATTTAATGATATTTATGGTGGGAAAAAGAAGCTTATTCTCTGCCTGCACGCGAAGAAAATGCGCGAAAACCGTGCAGCAAAATCCTGTGCCAGAGTAAAAAAAAAAAATCGCAGAGGAAAAAAAAGTTGCGATCGATCCAACGGCGAAATAAAGAGGAAGAATTCCAGACCTGGTATTCGACCAGAATGCCGTTGAGGGAGGAGAGAGGCGGCGGCCTCCAGCGCAGAAAGGCCGAGGAATCGTTTACCCTCTGAACTGCCACTTCTTCCGGAGGCATGCTGGGTGCTGTCAAAGAACGCAGCAGACATTCGTCACATCAAATGAGCTCCCAGCTAAACGTAAAATGAGTGAAGACACATACTGCTCTGGAGGGTGATGGCCGTAAGGGAATTGGACGGAGATCCCTCGATCTCGTGGAGGAACGGGATGAGGAAAAAGTGATATTCCGTCCAGGGTTTCAAGGCCACTACGTCGAAGTTCTGCGATCCCCCGTTCAACATCACAGTCCGAAGCTTGAAGGATAACGAGGAGTTCTTGGACTCCCGGAACCAGATGTGTAACCCTTCCATTACTTCCTTGTCCTTCTCGGGGATCTATCCGTCCCGAAAATCCAAATAATCCCACATCATCAATTGACAGTCAAGACATCTAGCTTAGCAAATATCAGGCGATTTGGACTCCGATCAAATGCATAAAATTTCCCAAAAGAAAAATATTTCGGTGTGTTGTGAAAGAAAAATTTTCTCCGCATTTTGTCTTGCTCACTGATCTCTCACTATGAGGGATCAGCAGATGCATGACAACACACGGAAGTCAGCGGTCATTTCAGGCCAACTGTAACGCAATCACACTACTTTCTGTTCTGTTGTTTCACAGGACATTCAACTGCCGCCATTCATGTAATCACTTAGCTTAACTCGCCAATCATTTGACTCGCGAAATAATCGTGCCAAAGATCCGGGTCATAAAATTAAACTGGATGATAATCCAACGACCATTGTGAATATTTTTGCCGAATCAGTAAGCAAGCTTTTCCAAAGTTTGCAGCGACGAGATCGTTTAGCCAAGAGTCCCGGGGGTCGCCTGAGATATTCGAACTTGGCTTCCATTGAAGCCCAAGAGAGCTCTTCTGGCACAGAAGGAATCCGAGTAGATTTATAGGATGATTCTTTCTGAGCCGAGATTATTCTTGTTCTAGATCGGAATAGACGTCTCTTTCCCCTCTTTTTGTTTCGCTAACAAAAAGCTTCCGTCGACGTACGTGAGAATTATTACTGTCCTACACTTCCCGAAATTCTCATAACTCACGAATACGACCAACGACATCTACATGGTTTCCAAAAATTACCAAGAGGCAGCAAATGTAATAAGGAAAAAGTGGGGTTAAGAAATTCAGACAAAGGAGCACGGCGGGGTGGATGGTCTTCATATGTGGTGCTGTCAACCATCACCAAGCATCTTTCTTTGTGGAATAACTGCGCACAAAAGTGATAATCCGCCAGAATTACTTTTTGTCCTCGTCTCAACCCCACCCTCTTGAGAATTTAATAGCCTGGGCATTGAATTTGGCGAAAGACGCTTCACTCGGAGGTGAATATAGATCGGCTTCAATGCGTCGACTGCCCCTTTAACACGTTCGCTACCATGCTTCGAGCATACCCGACATACAGCATGAATTCCTGTTACCGTAGACCTCTGAGAGGCACAGAAGCCTTGTCTCCCTCTCGGTCCGCATGGCCATGCCTCTCAGAGGCATGTCGAAGATGGGGATCGAGTCCCTGTTCCCACCAGCTCTGGCTACTTAGACCCGAATGCTGAAATCTCGTTCAGTTAACGGTCCTTTAATAATACATGGACACCTATGGGGGAAAAAGAACTCTCTTTTTTCTTAAAGGCCCCTTTATCTCACCTGAACAAGGCTTGCGCATTCGGGCCTAAAGAGCTCTTTTTTGTGTGCATTCGGGCCTTAATGTATCCGCAGGTTAGAGTAAATAAAATATTGTCCTCATAGGCCAATTCAACAATTCTGAGGAACCCATGGATTCGTTACAAAAAAGCTTAAACAAGGCGTTAGCTATATTGTAACTGCTTAATAAGGAGATACACACCGTAACTGGAACGCCTCACTACGGATCTCGCAGGGAAATTTTTAAAACTAACTCCTAAAAGAGGCACAGAGCTTTAATGAAAACATTAGGGTCTGTTAGGACCATCAGACCTTCTAGTAAATTAGCCGTCAAGTTTTTAATAATGTTGTTTCGCTAGAAATGAGATTGAAAGAGAATGCTTGTCTTAACTGCGGAAACTGACTTCCAGTAATAATATGTTAATATAGCTCTTCTTATTCTTAGAATCCGTCTGGATTCGACATCACATTGATGTTCACCAGGGGTCGGACATTTCATCTCTTCATCTTTTTCAGGCATCTGCCCGAAGTTGAGCCACCTGAAACATCTTCAGGTAACGAATAGTATAATAAGACTACGAGCAAGACTGACCTCCCAGTCGAGTCGAACAACGGAGGGACTGGAGGGCAGGGCATTGATGAGGTTGACCTTGACCCCGGCCAGACGAAGCCGGACTTCCACGGCCGTCCACGGCGTACCCCCATACCCCACCTTCTGACCCAGGGTCCGGATGGGTTTGGACATGGGACTGGGCATGGACAAGCCGTGCTTGTTCTCCGCCCTCACTATGAAGATGTAACTTGAGTCCGGCCTCAGCCCCTTCACCGTGTACGATGGGCTCTTCTCCCGATACGCTGCCAGGACCCAGCCCATCCCCAGCTCCGGGCTGAAGTACTCGATTATGTATCCTGAGCAAAGGGGGAAAATATGATGAGTACTTTGATACTTTAACTGCTGCTGCTCTGGATATAATATTTAAAATTTAGCCTGAAGAAATTGCTTTCATGTGAAGCAATTTTTTATATTAAAAACACTGAAATTGAATGAATAAATTAAAATAAATTGGCATACATTTATAAATCGCGTAGCGTCAGATAAGAAAGCATAAAAATAACGAATTTGAGATAGTATTCACCGAGAAGTTCAGAAGCTCCATGGTGCCGACTGGGATTCCACATGAGGCTGATGGAAGACTTGGACACGTTGAAAGGCTGAGGCTGAGACGGAGGGCCTGGGAATGAGGAAGGCTCTGGAGTTCTGTGATAGGTCACATTCCCCAATTCCCCGTCCTTGATTTCCAGTCCACTGATCCAAGATGTTTGACCGCTTGCGGAATAGGCCACGCACGAATACAAACCGGAGTCTTCTGGCTCCAAATCTGATTCATGGAGCAAAGAAATATCATGCTGATGCTTTCCAGCATGTCAGCGTTGCAAAGGTGTTTCAGACATTGCGGGTTACCTGTGACTTGTAGGGTTCCAGTATCGAGGACCTTGATGCGTTTACCGAGAGGCAATGGCTGATGATCTTTTTCCCATCGGATTGTGGGTGGAGGATTCCCCGTCGCCTGACAAGGTAACATGGCCAAGGATCCAATCGGCAACGTCTGATTGCTCGGACCCACCTAGAGCAGAATATAAATATTAATTGTGTCTGAATTGGCTGAATGAAGTGGGAGCCTGTCTTCTGGTGTGCTTCGATGATACTGACCTGAATGATGGGCGGCGGAAGATCTTCAGGAGCTAAGACCTTAAGATTGGCCCAAGCAAGGACAGCACCGGCCCCATTTACCCCTCCGCAAGCATACATCCCTTCGTCGGCCTTGCTCGTCACGTCAAAGGTCAAGGACCCCGACTCTGTTACTGTAACGTGCTGCTTTCCCTTCCCCGACACCATCAGGTCCTGCCATGGAAACCGAGTCCTTCGAGAAAAGTCAGGCAGCAGAAGATTAAAGGTAGGGGAAGTGAAGCTTACCAGACTGCCTCCCTTGGTCCAAAAGACGACGGGAGAAGGATGTCCAGACACTTCGCAGTCGAGGCTAGCGGACTGACCGACTTCCACCTTCCGGTCTTCCGGGTAGACCAAGAAACTCGGTGGAGCTTAAATGAAACGCCAAGAGGTCAAAACATCGTCCTGCTTTTCTCCTCGAATGCAAAGCGATCGGAAGGGCATACATTGAACGTGGAGAAAGACTCGAGCAGACACGGATCCCATGATGTTCTGGGCCTCGCACTTGTACTCTCCCTCGTCCTTGGGGAGGACACGATGGATCTGGAGCCTCTGGTCGTTGAGGGTCTGGGTTCGGCCCAAGGGCATGACCCCGCCGGGACGGGTCCATGCCACTCGCGGCAGCGGGTCGCCCCCCACCATGCAGACCAACTCTACGTCTGCCTCCACCACCGCCACCACGTCCTTTGGCCGCTCCACGAAGAAGGGCGGTACTGCACCATTCAGAACAAATTCCACATTTTCAGAAACGTTTTGTTGCGGGCATTTGGATTTTCAGCCAGTATGTCGGTTCAGTTCTAATGAGAGCACTCTACAATACTAACCCCCTCCCCATTATAAGAAATGAAGCTTTTTTCCCTAATGCATGCATGTATAACAAGCCTGTTCCTCGTTTTTGCCTAACTTTGACCTCAACTAAGCTATATTTGATCAAAACCTGGAATATATCAACAACTAAAAGGAAGTTTAACTCTACATCAATGTCTCTAAGTCTGAATCATGCCTATTGTCGATTGTAAATATATCTATTGTTTCTCTTTCTGATTGCTTTGAAATTTTTAGATTTTATTTAGAATATGATTAAGATTCATAAAGGCGAGAAACACACCCCAATTCTTGACCCATCACGGCGCAGCGAAATCATTTCGTAATTGGACAACCTCGAGGAAGCAAGACTGAATTTCATAGATTCAACTCCTGATCATTTTTATATATTTTATTTTTCTGAAGTTTTAATTTAATTTAATTTTTAACCAGCTGACAACCCCTAGAACTTGAGGAGAAGAAATGAACATAAATTACCGAAAGTGACAGAATCAGAGAAAAGCTTTCATTCGAGCACATCCCTGTGGTCCATAATTGACACTCGTTACGAGTCCTTGTCAGCTTCTATAAATCCTTTACCAGCCTGGCTGAACTGCCTCTAATCTGCAGCAGTCGACCGCAATATACCTTTCCTGAAAATCTCATTGAGAAGCATTCCATCATACATGCAGAGGAATGGTGCTTCTCCCTCCTCCAGAATACATTATGGAGGGGGAGGCGTGAAAATTGGATCGAGGGAGGGGAGGTTGGATGCAGATTGGCTCCGTGGCGCAGGAAATGGGGAATTATCCCATGAGAGAAGCAAGGGAAAGAGAAGATTTACAGCCGCCATGCAGGCTGACTCATTCCGTTGCTCCTGCTCGCAGGGGAATTCCAGATTAACAACCCTGCGGACAATAGCAAGATGGCCATAGCTGTCGATCGATGACACCCCCTGCCTTCATCAAGGACGGTTGTCTGAAAGAGGGTTCTTCAATCATGCAATGTCGTCCATTAATAACATCTCTCTTATGTTCCTTAGATTCCGGGTATTTTTAGCCAGTCACTCGTGTAACAAGGGCGTCTACATCGATTGCCTGGTAAGATGGAAAGTGCTGTCGGTCTACGGGGATGGAGTTCTATCAATCTCATCCCTCTATACCACGAAATAGAGGAAAGGGCTCATGAGTCGTTCTTATCGAACAGCATCAATTGACATCCCAGCACACGATACTTTCCGGTCTTCTAGGTAGCAAATCGTTCTGTTGCGTTGCGCATTCACCAAAAAGGCAAGAAGTCAACCTCAGAAGAAGAGACAAGCGTCTGAGCAAAATCAACTTCGTATTACTTGCATGGAACTATAGTAGTTGGTTTCAAGGTGAAGGGCTATTTGGGCAAGACCTAACGAAGTGCTGGAGTGCACCTTGAGTGCACTTATCGCTAAAACCAAAGTATCTCTAAAAACAAAAAAAACTCCTAACAAATCAATACCAGTGCAACAAGAAATTTAAAAACTTAACTGTTGTACACTCAATAACTAGTTGTGAGTCAGTTGTGGGCTAGATGGGTGGGGGGGGGGGGGTAGGATGCTGTCTAAAATGATGGCAGGTAGAACAGGAAGCTATATGAAAAAAGCTATCGTTACAAAGACTACTCACAGTGGAGGGATGCAATTACTGGACCAGGGAGCACTGTTATTGTTCTCGAGGGAAAGAGGAGATAATTTATTTCCAGCTTAAGATGATCTAGAAACCCTTGAAGCCTTCACTCAATCCCCAATAGATGTTTTCCGCGAGGAAATCGAGGCATGTCCTCTGAAAGTTTCTCAAAAAAGTCAGCAACGTCAGGGAACTCATTCGTCTCCAACTCCACTTCAAGTCTCTCTCACTTTTAATTGAATGTTCTTGCTCTAGATCTCTCTGAGGATATAGTTGAAATGAGGACAAGGAGCGGTTTGATGCTGAAGTCGCTTTGCTGAGTGGAAAAAGAATTGACGTAGAGGGAGGCGAAATCAAATCACGATTTACTCCAGTCTGTTTATGCATCGGTAAATTGAATCATCCCGAAACCTGATTTTTAAAAGTGATTATATTTGTTGTGTCCATCGTGTCTTAAAATCACAAATCGCATGATAATCGCAAGCTAAACAAGCATGACTGTCAGATGTATAAAAAGTTACATGTTTCGGGAGAATTTCATTTGAATATTCTAATATGCTAGTACATGCATAAAACCTCATGATTTTCAATAATGGAATTGAATCGTGACAATTTCAAGATTCGATATCCAATCGTCGATCAGTGGTCGGAATATTTTACAGGATTTTCTTTTCAGAAGGAAGGAAGAGGAATTTCAATTTACGGGTCGCAATTCGATCCGTATCGAATGGAATGGAATCGCGAATGGAATTGCCCACGTCTAGCCGTTGCATCAGGGAAACGGATAGCGAAGACACTGAAACTCGGATTACTGGAGGCACCTCAGCCGATGGCTCGGGCAAATTGGTCGGTAGGCGGAGGTCCCTAGGCGGTCTGACGTCCAATTTGGTCCTCGTCCAAATTGGACGAAGGGTTTATGGTACGACTGGACCTGTCAGGACTCTCTCATCCCGCACCTTTTTTTCTTTGTTTTTGAGCGCAGGGGTATGTCGTCAAGATAATTATTCTGGTTCGTTCCAGTCGCCAATGTTGCAGCTGGAACATTCACGGAGCGTCATCGATACATTTTCGTATCAGGTATTTCGTAATAAAGGAACACCTCGAAAATGGACTGCGCTATGCTTTCTCAGGAAATCATTGAACTGGCCTCGGCGAGAAAGACATATGCGCACCGTTTCCGTTATGCATCTACAGGTGTACTTGGGAGTCGGCGCGGCTTATGATGGGCCGAGTAGAATCGATGCTCTGACGCACTTCAAAGCCTACAAATCTACAGGGACAAGAAAATTGTTCCTCCTCTCCTTTTCCTGAATTGCCCCACGTTTTCCCAAGGGCAAAGAGACAATTTACATCTCAAAGCCTATCTGAGAGTTAACAACTTTACAAGTAGGAAGTGTGGCCACGTTTTCGTCACTTATTACGCATTCTCGTAAAATCGAAAGAATTCGAAGACGATGCAGGCGAAAGCTCGTCTCATCTTCTTCAAGGGTGCTTCAGAAAGATGAAGTCACACAATATTCCCGATGGAGCGGCAGGATGTAGTTGATGTGCCTGAAGGCAAGTCATAGGGCGAGGATATCCTCATACAGGATGTGCATGATAGTCATAAAAGGATCTATACGTGTTCGTCTGCAGAGGGGTAATTACCTTAGCCCACTGTGCACCGGTCAACCCGAGCTAGCCGTCTTGGGGTAACGTAGGCACACCCTTGAAAATGACCATGGGTCTCTCCCCCATGCAACTTTTTTCTCACACTTGGCAGGAAAAAGTGGAATTGCTCCAAAGAAGACCCAGGACTACGAGATATAGCGACAGAGACGTTACCGTGAACGGTGAGTTGTGCCATTCGGCTCTCGCGGAAGCCGACGACGTTCTCGGCCCGGCACACGTATCTCCCCTCATCGGACTTCTCCACACCTCGGATTACCAAGTCTCCCACCAGGGTCAGCTCCAGTCTACAACCACAAGCAGAATCCAAAATGCATGAAAAAAAGACTGCAGGGCCGAAGGCTGCAGAACACGGACCGCACGCGTACCTGTCGTCGTCGGCGAGAAAGAGTGCCTGTCCATCTTTGATCCATCGGACGGTGGGTTCTGGGTTCCCTTTCGGGGGTTCGCATCTAAGCCTTGCCGTCTCTCCCTCGACGGCTCTCGAGTCCTCCGGCTCTGCCCGGAATTCGTCCCTCAGCACTGCGATGTCAAAAGCATGCAAATAATGCCTTGTTTATCCATGGGAAAAACACATCCAACACTTTAGAGGCCGATATAAATACAACTCTTCAAGCTTAAACCTTGCACATGGCTCTCAGGCATTTCACATGCCAGCAGGAGTCGGTCCATATACATTCCATGGCTTCACTTGATAATACGTCATTACCGATTGACATGATATATAAGCAGTTTCGAAATTCAGGCACTGAAAGAAGCATGGTTCATGTAGGATCCAGACAGAACAGCATGCATCAAGCCCTACCTGAAAGCTTCTCTGAATTCCCATGAGCGCCGTAGAGCTTGATCATTATTATTTCATATCTGTTCAAGCTTCAAGTCAGGTCTGACTCAAATGGAGAGAACTTGGGCTCGACGTGGAAATAAATTCCCAAGGTAAAACCAGCGATTAACTCCTAATAGTGTGAGAAAAGTTCGGAGGCAGGCTGGACAATAGATGTCGGCTGAAGCTGCTGATGGTAGAAACGTGCCCCTTGTTTCCTCGATCAATCGCCGAAGAATGAAGCACAAAGACAATAGAAGCCCTCTCGGTCGTTGTGATCCAATCGGACTTGGACGAGGGATTTTCCTGATGTCCGGATTTTCTTTAAGATTCGCGCTAAGGCCTTACACTGAGGAATCTTCGAAATGTAGTCACTGCAGTCGGTGACTCCATGCCATAGTTTGAGGTCGCTTTTAAATTATCCCGGAACTCCCAAAACTTTATTCATCCCTCGAGAACGTTTCCTGAGTTCAAACCTCGGCATCCTCAAGGAAATAATCCTCTGTGGACACACTTTCCCTGATTCAAAAAGCTGAAAAATGCAGCTTAGACCCAGGTCTAGGATAAGTCAAGCTTATAATTTTTCGCTTCATTATTCTCGCATTCGCTCCATTCAGTTTTCACTTTCCTGTCCAAATACGTACAGAACAAACTTAGGAATTACTGGTTCACAGCACCAATACCCTCTCTTTAAGACAGAGTCATAGAAACGCTGACAACTCGAGGCAGATATGTGATTACCAACGGTGATGCTGACGAAGCAAATACGCGTTTTTTCTCTTGGTTACCAATAGGGTCTAATATAATCTCGTCTGATTCGCAGTCGGAGCACGAGTGCTCCCCCCCTCCAGTGTCGTCGGTCGACTGAGCTCAGCTCCTCATCTAGCCTCATCACGGCCGGCTTCAGCTCTCTGACAGTCAAGCTAGCCCTAGTGACGCCATCATGCTAGGCTCATCAGTCATCACGGGACATTCCCTGAATATTTGGCATTTTCAAGAGAATCTTGCATTTGCATTCGAGAGTCTCCCTCCAATCCAAGTTTTTGAGGGAGGCAGAAACTTCAAGATGATGGTAATTCTTTAAAACCATCTGCTGGAGACGATTTCACTGATACCATCAAATATGAAGTCGATGCTCGACATAACGAACTCGTAGGGACAGGCTAAAAAAGTTCCTTTACCAGGAAAGTTCGTTATAGGGAATTTCCCATATTTTGCATTTCCCTTTGCGACCATCCAGGATGACTTTCAATTTCTCTTCGGAGGAGATAGCTTTTCGCTTTTTCATATTACTGAGAAGATTAAGACTGACTGGCAGAGATCCCTTGCTCCCCACGGCCACACCCATAGGTGGATGGTATATGCTAAATTTCGATATTGAGAGTTTCCAGGAATGCCTGAAGAAAATAACTCTGACGTGACTTAAGCTTCGTAATGTTTTGCTTTTTCGGTCGAAAAATGACTTAGTAAAACCGAACAAGTCCTTAAACATAACTTCGTAATACAGAAACTTCTCAACATGTGTGAATGAGCAAACAGTTGGGAATAGGAAAAAAAAGTACGGTAAAAATAAAATGTGTTATATAGAGGCTCTTTATATAGAGCGCTGACTGTAACTCACTTTTTATGCTTCAAAGCGGTGATATCATCAGGCGTTCCTTTCCGCCTTTATCGTTCAGTAATAAAAAAAAAGATCATATTCTACGCAGATACTTCGTGAGGACATGAAAATTAATAATGAAACTGAAAGGTCGGGTCGGGTCGGGTCGGGTCGGGTCGGGTCGGGTCGGGTCAAGTCCCTTCCCTTGAATTAAGGTCACATCTGAAATGAAATATTATATTCTTGATCCTCTACTAAGATTGATTTCCAAAGTTGGAGGTCTATATTTAGGCCGTACTAGGCCCGAGAGACATCCAACCTCCGCTATACCATCCGAGAGAGGCTTTTGCACGACTGACCTGAGACGGTGAGGGTAGCATTCTTGGATCGGGCCGTGCCGACGCTATTGTGCGCGACGCACCAGTAGGTGCCGGCATCCTGCTCCTTCTTCGTGTGCATGACCCTCAGGAAGAAGAGGGAGCCGGACGGGAGGGCGACCCGGTGGGACTTCCCCCCCGTCTCCACCGGTTCCCCGTCTTTGAACCATTCGATCGCCGGTTCAGGCTTCCCCTCCGCCTGGCAGTTCAGCGTCACCGGCTCGTTCTTCCCCACCGTCATGTCCGTCGGGTGCTCCGTGATCCTCGGGCTCCGAAATTGACCTGAAATGTGGTTGCTAATTTAGTTCTTCTCGATAGGCTTCATTATTGTAATTTTTCTGGAAGCATGGCACGAATTCTCCTCTGAGGGCACGTCGTAATATTGAGGAACTTCTGTGTGGCAGTTAGCTTCAGAAAATTTTCAGGAGTTACAAATCATCGCATCATTACATGAGAATAACGTCAGTGGTGCCGCCTATTTCGGACTTTTCCATGCGAGCTCTTTCTAACACCAAAAACCGAGAGTAGGAGAAATACAGATCTTTAAGACCAGCGCTCTCCCTCGATTCTAGGTATTCTGACGCGCAAAAACCTACAATAATGAAAGGATAATGACGGCATACATTCTCTAGTTCTTTCCCATCCGGTTTTAACCACTGACGTCATTCTCCGCTTACGGTAGAATAATACATAGGCGTTGTCAAGGTGATACGTTACGCTTACAGTACGTTCAAGTACATATAAGAATCTAAAAATACATGCAAGCAGAGGTATTTGGCAGGTTTAAGTTCTTCCTTTTGAGGAAAGCAGCTCAAAGAAGCATAGCATCGGCTCATAAATATGTGTCCAATCGATAGATTGTCACTCACATCGAGCTAGAATGGAAAGAAAATCAATTTATCAATAGGTCCAGCTACATGGTCAAAACGACAAAGACCATGAAATTAGGTGTCCTAACTTACAAACGTTCCCTTTTTCCAAAAAGAAGCGCAATATATGCTAGTGAGATTGGTACAAAGGGTATAACACCCTCAATTATGGGGCTGGGTGCACCATTTCACGGCAGATGTTTTTCGTTTTGATAACAATCAGGGGTCGCATCAGTTAAGCGTGATCATGGCATATTACTACGCCCATCGGTCCCCTAATTACGCTTTTATAAAAGCTAAAGTGCAATATAAAAAAACTCTATTAGATCGATGGCAAGGACTATGCATCTGTTTCCAAATATGATTAATTAGCTACATTTTGCGATCCTATTAGTTGTACATAACACTAGGCCAGGACGAAGTAACGTGTAAAACCGTATCCGCACCAACAGAACGGACCGAGAGAGCGATTTAGCAAGTCTTTCCAAGGAAACCGCACTCACCAGCACTGAAATCCACGACACTGAGGGACAGGACGATCGCCCATCGCACGGCGTGATCCATGGAGAAGAAAACCAGGCAGCCGTCACCTGGAGGAAGGGGTCAGGGCAGCCATTGGGCAAGTTTTCATCTCGTGAGAAGGCATCTCTAGATGAGTCAGCTTGGGCTCTGTTCCCTTCTGGCAGGGGTCCTTTTATTTCCCGCTGGATCGAAGGGGCGGACGAGTCCATTCCGCCCGAGGGGCGGATGGGTGGTGCGGAGAGCCCATGCTATACGACGTTCTTTCCCCGTCTATTCTCCGCTCTCCCGGCATCGATTTCATCGAGTCTCCCTCCCTCTTCTTTTCTTTCCTCCCCCCTCTTTCTTATATGTCCTCACCACTCTCATTCATTAATGCCTTCTGCTCTCGTTCGCGATTGTTCGGTCCTGTTCTTCATCTCTTATCCTTGTGATGACCCCAATCATCAAGGTCTTCGGTGCGGGACTCTCGCCTTATTGCGTCCCCGCTCGATTGATGGGAATACGCGGATGGCATCGATTTTCCCGAAATTCACTTTCATAGGCCAATATTCAAGTTTAAGGTCGCACCGTAGAAGAGATACATCGATGCAACAGGCCAATCCATCATTTAGAAGTTTCTCCCAATTTCAAATGCCCCATGCTAGCACGTGAAACCCTCAGACGCTGATAAAAGGGGGCATTCAAGAATCCAAATCTGAGGGCATTTTACAAAGAAGAACGCCAATAATTAAATGCCTGTGATTGGATTGCCCCTTATCAATACATCTTGTTCTGAGTACCCATCAGGAACGTAGCAATCATACTGAACGACGCGTTTCCTGGAAAAGAGGAGAAAAGAAGCTGCGACAGCAATCTATTAATCGTTATGGTGCAGTATTGCCACTGATGACTTCATTTTCAGGATAAGGAAATCTATTATGGCCTGAAGTATTGGCATTCTACTTCGTTCCAGCTTTCTTCCCTATCCTAATCCACCTGTTAGGTGGATTCATTATACATAATAAAGATTGAAGCTGAGCGGTTTCCTTACTGTGTAATCCAGGCACTAAGCCTTCGAGATGCTGAGGAATCCTCCGGTTCTCAATTATAGATGTTGAAGGATGCAAAATGTACGAACGAATGAGGGATCCTTCCTTATGATCAACAATTTAGCACATCTCTTCTCCGGAATATCTTTCCGCAGTGCGTCATAGAAACATGAATAAGATAAAGCGGGAGAGGACTCCATCCCTTTACACAGAGGAAATGTCCTCGACATGCCCTTTCATCGTATGAAGCGAGGTAATCCAAGCTCGTGCAAACTTGGCTCACATGGGAATCGAGGAAGATTATCCTCTCGCATTTTTCGGCTGTCATGGGCGAGGCAATATCGTTCGCACATCGGTGGAAGGCTGACACTTCTCTCTAACAGGTGAAAAACGAGTCCAGGCCTCTGGAACCGTTGTCACCGAGTCCGATTTGCAAGAGATATGCGGAGCGAGATGCGAAAACGTCGGAACTTTGGCAAGAACATTCATCCCCTTTCTTGGGTCGAACCTGGTGGCTGAAGTTCTATTCATTGTATCAGAGGGGGGAAAAAAGGGCCGGGAAGAAAAAGTTTCTAATCTTGGGCAGGCAAACTTATGCCGTAAATTGCCCTTCCACCCGTGAGAAGAGTCGATTCATCACACCCGAAGCCGACGCTATCGCGCACGGGAACTGCCCGACCCGACATCTAGGGATGTTCCTCGAAACGTCAGCTTCCAAGGCATGAAACTGCTGTCGCTCGCGTGCGTCATCGCTTTCATCTCGCTTCTCAGGGTTGACTCGATCTGATCGAGTCCAGACTTACACGTATAACGTGAAACGTGGTTTACTGGTCAGATAAGATTCTTGTCTTCCTCCCGAATGAACGTGGGTGAATGAACGTCAGTCAGAGAAGACGAAATAAATGTACAGTGTGCATGTCATGTCCCTACCTGGTCTGCACGCAACGTGTCAGAAACGTTGATGAACGTGATATCGACATCGAAATATGAATTATACGTGATTGAAATAGGTGCTGACCCATTTTCCGCAGACCACGGACTCAGTCCGCGCCCGCTTCTCGCGGGCGATAAGCGGTTCCGAGTAGCATGACACGTCTACGTTGTCAATGAATTTGGATTGCATATCGGACAATCATGTGAATGTTCGATGGAAGTGACTTACTTGCGTCGTAATCGAAGAGATAGAGCGAAATTCGCTCTTTTCCTGGTGAAAAGCGTCGTGAAGTTGCAACGCTAAAAAAAAACCGGTGTGAAATTGGTTCGCAACGTTCTGTGGGAAAAAAAAATTCCCTGTAGAATTCACCTCGAGAAGATACATTTACCCAGGATCCTCGTGGTTGCCTGGAGACATGGCGTCACGCTTTTTAAGTTTTAAACGTCTGATTTAAGATAACAAGTTTCCAGTAGGAAACAAGGACGATGAGGACATCACATTTTTGTCTGCCGCAGTCAGCAGAAGCCCATGACAGTGATAAGATAATTCAAAATGCAAAAAAAAAATGAACTCTCCGGAACGTTTACTGGGCAAAGGCACTTTGGCCGATGATGCAGGCTTCCCATCGTTGGAAAGACAGGAATGGAATACGTCAAAATTTGAAAATATGCCTTGTGCTCAGCAGACTTTAAGCATGTCTCGATTCCCAAAGAATTTTAAGATTCTATTCATGGTATTAGAAGAAGGCCATGAAAATCTGTTCGGGCAAAATCTGTTGGACCGAGTCTACCAATTTCAACTTCCACGTATTTCAAGAGCCATTCAGAGCCACACAAGGGAGCAAATCTGAACTGAGGGTGAACATGTTTATTCCGATGAAACTCGAAGTCATCGCAGAACATGAAAACATCTGACAATTCGCGAAACGATGCCATGAAAGAAAGATGAAAGAGCCTCTCTCTTGGCAAGGCGGAATGGGTGCAAAATACATATTAAAAAAAAAAAACATTCAAATGGGATTATATATAAAATTTTCAATAACAAGGAAAGGAAATAATTCAAATCAAAGCGAGCAGCCTCTTCGAAGAAAAGTTCATTTGAATTTGTTGTTTCCTTCAATTCTCATCCGGAGTTGATGCGACAAAAGGTTCAAGAGGTTCAAGAAATGTAAACATTCCAAGTATGCGAAATTGTGTTAAATGAATTATTATGGACCGGAAGCTAAAACTTTCACCTGATGATTTTGGGCATTCTTCAGACAGTTTCCCTTTGAACACTTTCTTGACTGGATGAATCAGCTTCTCGATCAGTCAAATGAACAGTCAACAGTAAAGATGGAGTGAGTTACAACTGCCAAGCGTATTACTGATTTTTTTTTTAAGGACTCGGTTGAGCTTACTGTCAGTCGCTGCAGCTGGAGCTTCGCATCATCTGTCTCGTTCCTGAAAAAAAAAAACGAAAATAAAGAGTGGCACACACTATTGATTCAAGGCTTTCATGATTTTTTGCAACAAAAGGGTAAACTTTACAATAGCTACCATGCTTCACAATGCAGAAAAGCAGCCCTTCAATCTCGTAGGGCAGGGGCGTCAAACATACGGCCCGCGGGCCGGATCCGGTCCGCTACCTTGGTTCATCCTGCCCGCTGTCTGTTCTTGAAATTTCCGTTTGGATTGACTGTCAGCATAAATTTGGGCGGAAAATTTGTCCGCAGGCATCTGCAGGGTAAGGAGTGCGGCACGCCGACCGATATGAGTTTGACACCCCTGTCGTAGGGGAATCCTATTTCATAACTTCTTTGAAGTGTCTCTAACGTCGTATAAGGGGTCCTCTCCTACGATAGTCATCAATTAATTTCCCTTACCTTCACCAATGATAGGTCTATCATCAAAGATAGACTCCTATCATAGTCCTAGCGTAATAATTCGCAAACTCAGGGAATGAGAGCAAATAGAGTTGGCAACTCATCCTGTTTGACCGAGACAGTCCTGGTTTCATCTCCTTCCACCCAACCAATAAGCAAAGGACGACGGGAGATCTACATTCTCCCGGTTGCACTCCGAGGAAGAACAATTAGACGGTGAGGCAGCAAGCCCAGGCTTCCTCCCCATTTCTGGGCCTCGCGCTCATCCAAGTTCATGAGAAAGTATTAGGCGACGGGTGATAACAGCCAACAAAATAGAGGCAGCTGGGAGGGGGGAACGAGGCAGTTGTACCCTCTCCCCCCTCCTGTCAGCAGGAAGCCCCTCATTAACCGCATTAGTCCTCCAAAAATGAGATCTCCAGGTCCGACTTAGGAAGAGCAGACGACCCTAATAGCGAGCGAGGTCACGGGGTGTTACAGTAGAAATTTATGGAAGAGTGGGCTGGGTCTCGGGAAAGATAAGGTAGCAGACCGTTGTGGCACACCACAAGACTTTCTCTTCGTCGTCTCCGGATGTCGAGCACCTTCGACCTCGGGACGCAGAGCTAATAGATATCACGGGTCAGATCTGGCATTTCTTAGATTGTAGGTGACCTAATCTGAATCTCTTATTTCCGGGAGGGCTCTGAGAGAGGCGGAAGAAGCGCCGAATCGGAATAATGAGAGAATAAATGTTCTCTCTAAAAAAAAAATGCGTGACGTGAGGTTTGATTTTTAAAAGTTCGAGCCGGCTGATCATCTGACAAGTAGTCCAATGGATTGAGAACTAAAAAAATTTAATTCAGTCAATTTGATGGAAACAGATTGATACTATTTAAAACAATTATCACGTAATTCATGAAACGTGATGGAAATAGCTACGCATGGAGAGGGCCGAGTACTTCGGATAGGATTGTGCGTATTATACTGAAACCTACAGAGTAGTGATTCTTTGTCTGCTCTGTATCAGGGGGTTTGAACCTTTGCGTTATAATTTCATAGTATTTGAATGTTCGACCGTGAATAATTTTCTCGTGGGCCTTATTTCATAGGGGAAAGCTCCCTCCCCCCTTATCGGTAAAGGGCCTCATCGCACAGCTTCCAGGATCTTAATGGATCTTTGACTAAAAAGAAACGTATCTGTGGTAGTGCCATCTGGACAAATGAAGGCATTGCATGAGGCTGAGATGCTGTTAAAATGGAAAGAAGCAAGTGATGAAAGAGGTCCAATGACACATTAGTGACACTTTCATTTGCAAGTCCGATTACAGTACCTGAATTGGTCGGCAGACATGCAACTCTGCAAACTCCCTAGCCTACATCCATATCCCACCATCATCGCCTTTGGGCTAGTATAGTTTTTCACGACGATATTCGAGATGAATACCCCCCCCCCCCCTCCTAGCTTCCCTTCGTAGGCAATAAACATCCTGAAAATTCGAAATTATGTTAAAGATAGGCCGCTCCTGACCATTTGGCTCCACAATATACTGCATCACTTTCTGATCCATACCTGGAAATATGATTCCATGGGAAAACGAAAGGAAGCAGGAAGTGAAAAGCTGAGTTGAAGTTTCACAAGTCTTGGTCACCTCCAAGTCATAATTTTTATGGGCTTTCTGGCAAGTTCGAATGATAAGTACTGAAGAACGTCGCTGATACATTGCAATATTGGTTGCCATGATGACTGCGAGTTGATGCCATATAGACTGTCGTGCGTACTTTTAAATAAGTGTGTACCTCTGAGTAGGCTTAACCATAATCAGTATGATTATGTTTTTGTATTAAAGTCTTCGTCTTTTGCAGATTTTTGTATCTAAGGTTTTTTTTTCCATTTTCATGGATTCATGGATTCATGGTATTCCTCATGTAGACGTTCTCAATCGTGAATCACATTTGTGGTGAAAATTTTAAAATACTTTTTCGTATGTAATATCATAATTTCATGTTGGGATCAATAAAACCCCACGTCATGCAAAAACTGTTGCTAATTGTGTCAGCAGGAATCATAGTATTTTAAGTATTCTGGTGGACAGACACTGGGCTAGTGTCAATAAAGGAGAGTTCTCGTTGTTTCCTGATAACTATTGAACTCTTATATGGATGGCGGAGTTTGAGAAAAAAAGAAATATGTTTTGAAACTAAGTAAGTGAAGTTATTTCTTTTACAAATTCATTTGCAAGAAGTAAGCAATTCAATATCTGTATCACACCTATTCTGTTGTTCGGCATAAACATTTTCTTACGAAGATTTAGGGCGGACAATCGATGGGGTTGAAATGACTCGACGTAATGCTGTTATGAAAAATGTAGGCTCGTGCAGATGAGGGTTAATGCAGAGAACGTGGCGTAAACACGGGTGAGTAAGAATCTCCTGCAAGACTGCAACTATCCCGTATGGCTTTGGGCTGGCAGAACATCGGCTTTTGAAGGTCTTGCTTTGGTTTTCATGCTTACATAACTTGCAGTTGTTACGCAGCGGTATTCTGTTCTGTATACATTTACTCCACCCACATCTGAAATCATCAGCAAATGCTCATGATGTCGTTCGTTTCAGGTTTCAGATTGATTCGCGTATCGATGTTTTCGTTTGATCGCTCGGTTAAGGTGCCATTTCATCTCCAATATCCTATTCTTCATAACGTTTCTGAAGGGCTTTAGTTGAACGTTTGAGAGACTGTTTCTTTATGCACATCTGTGCCACTTGATCGGAACAGCGAGCCTGGCATCTGGCAGTGGCTCAAAACAAACAAAGGTTCGCACAATAGGAGCGAGATGACGCCAAAGTAGCGGCTATTGTGTGTCAATATCTGATACAGCAGCTACAATTAATCTCAAGTACTTCCCACACGGTACCAGATCTTTCACCACGGACACCGCGGGGGAAGACATTTGAGTACTTCAACAAATTCGTCCTAAAATGTAACGCAGTCTAAGAAGTCGGAAAATAAAACTGAAGACTTGTAACCAGATCTTATTTTGAATATGTAAGGATTTCGTTATATAAGTTTTTGCCATAAGAACATAATTTGGAAGTCCGCTCAAAAGTTTAATCAAGATGAGCATGTCTCTTCTTGGGAATTATCTCTTTCCTTGCGAACCTGACTTACTCCCAGCTCCACTGAACGCGAGGACCTTAATTGGATCGTTGTGCCACGTGGTTGGGGCGTTGTAAAACCGAGCACTAGAAGTCTCCCTGCAATCCACGTGATCGAATTTGTAGTGGTAAGTGAAGGTCATGAGAATAATGAATGGAAATCACTTTAATAACAATGATACTCCGGTGTGAGGTATGCAATCGAGAGGAAAGATATGCTAGAAAAGGTTTCTTCGGGTCTGACGAACGACGAGACGAGAGAAAGAATCGCAATTGAAACCCAAGATCCCAGCAGTTTCCAAAGATGCGAAGATTCGAGACAGGTCCTATACAGGATGCGGGGAGATGAACTGGAGATGGGACTCGTGGCTAGAGTGAAGGGAAAACGTTGGAAGATCGGAACCCCAGAATTCACGACTGCTCCGAACTGCCATTGCCTTCTCACTGCTCGAATGCCCCAAGAATGCTCCAATCCCCAAAAGTGGAGAGCAACTGGTTATTTAAAGGGAGAATACCCTTGCCCGATGTAATAGAAGACATGGAGTGAAAGGGGATGAACCCTTCAGTGCTGGATACAAGGCTCAAGGCGTGAAAGGGGTGAAGCACTAAAGGGAGATGAACCAAGGGTGAAACCTTCAAGGTTGAGACATGACAGAACCATCCAAAGGTTCCATTCCAAACCATACTATGTATATGTGCTTGCATACAGCCGTGGTTTACATGTTTTCCCAAAATAAAATGCCCATAATTTTGAATGCTATCACTTATATTGGGATCAAAACGAGGAAGTGAGACATCGGCTTCAGTACCTCAATATCTCCTTGGCTTCCCTGTTTAAAATCCCGGCTGGAAACAGCTATAATTTCCAGCTGGACTCCAGCTGTAAATTCGGACCCATTCCAACTGGGTTACAGCTGGAAAGTACTAATTTCCAGATTTGTTCTTAATTGCTATATCACTAACCAAATGAGAATCTTTTTGTTGACTATTTCTTTCAGAGATTCATCAACAAGAACAGCTGATTTTCAACTGTAACTGTAGCTACATTCCTGGTGTAGGGTCCTCTTTAAAACATTTCAACTGGAAATTTTCCAGCTGGAAACAGCTATTAAAACCAGCTGCATTCCAGTTGCGAAATTCCAACTAAGAAATAACTGGTACCTACTATTTTCCAGCTCTTTGCCAGCTGGAAATGGTCCGAATTTACAGATTTGGTCCAGCTGGAATATTCCAGTTGGGATTTTAAACTGGGTTCGAACTAGAATGTCTTTTGCATGAGACGGTCGAGTTCATCAGCAGATCTTTCAAAAAAGCACAGTATTTGTTTTCCATATAGCACTTCTTTCCAACCATAATTAGAATTCCGGATGTCAGTTAATAATGTATTCTTGCTCAGAGGTGCGTAACGCCGTTTTGACGTTAGGGTTCTCAGATCATGATTTCATTCAAGCCCAACTTGAAAATTAAATCCAAATAAAAACTCTCCTAGTTCATTCCTGACAATTACCTGGTCTCTTTTCAAGTCAGACTCTAAGATAGATTCTAGTATAGGGACCTTAATGTTCTAGTAAGTACTGTGACAAGTTTATATGATGCATTCTCAATAATATTTGAATCATTTAGTAACAATAGGACATCATATCGGGAAATCAAACAGATAAACAACAATCTCACACCCCGACAACCATGTGGCCCACAAAGCAATAAGATTCCACAAGCACGCATAATATTAATAATTCGCGAACACATTGCCTACGTTCTTGAATTGTTATATCACCGAAGCATATCTGTGTGGCATGTATGTGGTTTACACATTTCTATTAAGCTTGTCTTTCGAATGAACGAAACGAGAGAGGAAAATTTCAAGGAGCCAGACGACACATGTACATGAGATACCTGCCAAAAAGAAGAAAAAGGCAAATGAAACATGGTAGATGCCGATAGACTGAGACCGAGTCGCTTCCTCGTTACACGCTGATAAGGCATCGTAGCTTGTCTTTCTCTTGAGTCGGTCCAGGATACCCAGCTCTCTCAGCTTCAGGATGCTGTGAAACGCAAAGAGCAGATGCAGATTTCAAAGTTGGAGTTGCATTCTTGAGCATATCCGTGCGACTCGCTCCGATTGTCTGAGTTTCTTGGGGCTTTGATGATTCTTAAGATTGGGTGAACTGAGTGCAGCTTAAGAGTGCAGCGATGTAACACACAGTGTAACACTTAATGAAACTGATTATCTAAGACCAGGATATAATCAAGACTGTTGACGTTTAAGTCTCTCGATTCCAACTTACAAATTTTTATGAGGCTACACACAGTGGCGTAGGCAGGAAATCGGCAAGAGGGGGGTTGAGGCCAGGTAGACACCCCAACCCTACGCCTAGCTCCACTACCCAGAGTTTACCTTTTCAAAGAAATCATGGCCTGGCATCTTGGGTGTGTGGACGGACCTCAGACTTTCCTCGACGGGGCATAGCTAAAATTGAAATTCCCAAGGAAGGTTGAAATATGCCTGTCAGTGTCACTGACCGAGAAGCCCAAAGGGGGGGGTTCTAACCCCCTACCCCCCCCCCCCCCCTTCCCTACGCCACTGGCTACACAACACGAAAGTCTATCAAGTTAAATGGAAATCAATGGAGAATGAATATACGAGGTAGTTACAGAATAGACATACTGATAATTGAGAAATTTCCTGAGAGGGGATCCTTGCCGAATGAGGAATCCCTTGGCAGACTTCCTCACGTCGTACGGTATCTTGACGATGGAACAAGCTTCCTTTGGGGGCAATTTTTCCAGCCACGCCTTGGCCTTCGTCTCCTGGAGAAGCACTACCATCTTCTCCTGCAATCCGTCTTGCAGCACCTTCGTTTCGTCGAATACTCTTCCGGTTCGATTGTTCAAGAATTCCAGAAAAGCTTGGTTTTTTGTTTCCTGAAAGAGATCAGCACGCGGTGAAAAGTTGGGACGAATTCAAACGATTATGTCCTTTCAGTGGGTCTTCATTCGAAAGCAAAAATCTTTCTCGATGTCTGTCCCATTTCTTTTGCGTTTCCAGGATATTTGGGGAAAGATGGTGGTGCAGCTGAATGAAATTCGGTGAAAAGCCATGAAGACGAATTAAGACAATGCAGAAAGGTGATTTGTATGGAGAACCTTTTTTTTTCTCCCAGTTTGCCTACTAATAGCAAAGGATCATCCTCGGTACATCCGCTGGATATCCGATACGGGCATACGGATATCCACCGGGCATCCACTTGGAACACCCAGTGGATATCCAAATGCAGCACCTCCAGAACATCCATTCGATGTACTCCAGAAATCCTCGAGATAAGGCGGACATCCGCTTGATGTATCACAAACAATCTAGCGGCCCAATATATGCATGCTCTTGAATATTCAGAATACTCTGAAGGGCGTTGCTTTCTTTTACCTTATTCTAATCTCTGTATACTGTACATGCACACGGGAAAAGGCAACGTTTTCCCAAATATCAAAAGCTTGCAGTTTGTGCCCATAGCCCATGCGCCCCCATCCGTTCAAGGTCCAATAGGGATCTGAATCGATTTGGGATGGAAGGTAAGAGAACCCCTTTACGAATTCTTCGCTTCCCATCCAAGCCTCCCAGTCGACGTACGATGCTTTTCGTTACCACAGAAAGTGTGAGCTTTCGGATGACTGCTACTGGATTCGTGATAAAGTGAACCCATCGGGCTTGGATTTGCTTTGAATCTCCTTGAGCTGGGTTTTATCTCTCGACAAATGTATTAATTACATCTACTCTCTTCCTTCTACTTTTACTTAGGAAAATTTCGAATGATGGGTGAAAACACCTGCATATCATCCAGTCGCATCGGGGAATCGAGATATGTACAGCGGCGAGTTCACGATGACCTCACTGATATCGTTGAACTTCATTTTTATTGAAGTAACTTCCTGATGCGAGGCCTGATGGAAGGAGGCCTAACTGTCCATTCCCGACTTTCTACTATGCTCATAGTACATCCGCACTGGCTTCTATCTTGTGCGTCTATCGCATGTCCGCCAGACGAACCAGAGAAAGAGTGATTTTCGCCTGGATTCGAACCAGGGTCCCCAACCGGGGAACCAAGCTCACCAGCAATCAAACGAGTCACTTCCGGGGGATGTTCTCCGCATATCCCCCTTGACTTAGAGCATGCTAGCGGACGTACATCGGTTGAATGATGCTACGTGGGAAGTCAAGGAGAAAAACCCACCTATACCCAAGGATACTCTTTGCCCCTTCTCTCTAAATCGGTTGCCTTTTCCTCCCAATATTTCAGAGCGTGCCCAGCCCCCCTGGACACCATACCCACCGTCCCTGGGTGGTCTCAAGTCTCCATCAATCCCCCATCATCAACGCTTCCAGCATTATTGTACAGTATCGCCTCCTTTGTTTCAAACATAAAGTGAAGGAAGACCCGCTTCTGTGCATTCGGCTATTTCTACATACCTGGAAAAATGACTCCATGGTGTCTTTCTGCGAAAGAGCCCATTTCCATCCTTCACTTCTGAGTTCAACGAGCTCTTCCACGCTCTCAAAGGGGAGACTGAATCGCGGGATCGACAGTTGGGACGTGAGGAGTCCCGTGAAGCTGGTGAGGCAGAGCAAGCTCAGAGTGCACGTCCATATCGTTATCATCCTCGTCGAGGGGCTCGTGTCGCTGCTTTCCGTTCTGCCTCCTGAGAAGCACGCGGAATGCGACACATCGGAAATGCTCGAAATATCAAATGAAGGAATTATTTGAGAATTTAGATCCGTTTAATAGCCCTCATCCAATTTTTAAGGTGCATTGCTGGACCACGTGGAACTTTCCACTTGCGTGAAATATGCTTTCGAGTTGAATTTATTCATCAATTGTTAATTATTCAATATGAATTGTTTTCTGATTCATCTGCTTCAATTATCCCTTCCATTGCAAAAGATTGCTTGCTGCTAATAAACTTGAGTATCTTCTTCTGAATTTGTGGTAAAATACCCGTCGAATGAAAAGCATGTTTTATATCGTTAATAATATCAATCCAGGGAGTGCCTTGGGTGCTTCCAGTTATTCTCGAACGTTCGACTGTGGAAGTACAACAAACTTTTTTGCTGTCTACTAGCTCCTTCAACTCTCTGTCTTCTTAGAAGTTATTACTAAGTCAAATTTCCTTACCTCCTACGATATTTTTTGTCACAAATTTGTCATATTCCTGTTGGGACCTACCTTGTAAAAGTGCAGCGCAGACGGTGCCCCAAAGGTAAGACAGACCCTGACCACCGCTGAGACTCCCGGCCAAGGCGTTGCAGGCGCAGGCGAGGACGATCAGCGTCGTCACGACCGACCACACCCACCGATCGAAAGGGCGAAAGTAGAAATCCGATTCGAAGGCCATGGTCTTGGGTCTCTTGATGTAGAAGTTGTACCTGGAAATCGACACGATCCTTTGCCATGGCCACCACCGCCAAAAGTAGCAATTATTGGCGAAATACCTTCGGTTCTCCAAAGGAGTGACGAAATCGACAGTTCCGATCCGTTCGATGGACTGTCCATGAAATCCCCAATGTATCTCCGCTTTCCCCTCTAGCAGGAATTCCACTACATCCTTGCTGTCGTTCACCAACAGAAACCTCGAAGAACATGAAACAATCATTTCTCTTTCCGCTTGCGCCTCATCGAAAGTGATTTTTCTTTAACCTTTTCGCACATCTCGCTCTCGATTGGGGACTGAGCGGAAACCCTTAAATTATTTTATGGATCAATATATTTCGTGCTGAGACTCTGAAGTACGGGTCCACCTAGACATTTTCCACCTAAATGTAACCATGAGAACCAATAGGTTACCTAAATATACCTGACATCGAAATTTGAGTTTGATTATTGTATTGGATGATGTGATGAACGTTTCATGCAAAAAATATCCTATTAAAATAGGCATAAAATAATTAGGTACTGAGAGGATTAATAGCGTTTCATCAACCTGAGATTCATGGACTCCTCAAGAGCCTTGCGAATCGACTGCGGGAACTTCTCCTTCACCTGGACAGACGTTCATCAACCAAGTAATTATTGAAGCAATCGAGAGAACAAAGGACTGAAGATATTGCTTTTTTTTTTTTTAGCAGGGATTTTATTAACTCACAAGGCCCACGATGGTGACGTTCATTCCTCGGAAATGAGATCGGCGCTGAAGTTTTCCTCTTCTTTCCAGAATTTTGCTCTGTCGGTTCCTTCGATCGCACGTTTCCAATGCCCTCATATAGATGCACTTCGGTTTTTGCAGGTAATACGTCTCCCACAAAATATCCAACTCCTCTCTTCTTTGCAAGACATACATATCACTCGAGACGTGTGCATCGAACTTCTCGGCCAATGCATGCAGAGGGCTGCGATCGTTCGCACAGATTTCTTCTGGAGGTTCTTGCGACAGGACCTTTTTTCAGAAAAATTATTTCATTTTTTTCAACCTGGGTTATTACTTTGACTGCTACTTTAAAAAGAAAGCAAGGAAGGAGGTGATGGAATGTCTTCGAAACTCGTGAGATCCTTACCGCATTTTGTACGTAGTCTCCTGAGATGTCTAGTACGACGATGGACTCCTGGGGTAGGAACTCGAAGGCTTCTGATGAATTTTCTCCTCGAAGTGCCCTGAGGTACCTCACGGAATCCTCGGTGGACCAAAAGTCCTTCATCACCTGGCGGTCGCCTGTTGGAACGATGGTTATGCTTTAACATGGAGGGGAAGTTATATGGCTGAGTGCGGATCTTGCTTGATATTTTCCCTTCCATCTGACGAATCCCTTTGTTTCTAGCAGTGCCTTGATAAATTCGTTCGGTCCCTGTTGAAGGAGTAGGCGGGGGGGTCCCCTTCCACCACCCTTCCATTCTTTTCCTTTGAGACCTTTCCTTTAATGCGTCGTGTCGATTCCGCAGCGTATGCAAGAATGCGTGAGCGAAATTTTCGTGGCGTCCTATTACTTGATTAAATAATTTTCTGCTTTTCTCGCTTTCATCCGGGAAAAAGTCAAATACCTCTCTTCGTTCAGAGGAAAACCAAGTGCTATCTTATGATATAAAACCTTTTTTGGTCGCAGTCTATCTGTGCTGTCTCAAAAAATATATATTTCTCCGTACCTCTCACTATTCAAACGCGTCAAGAGCATGTGTGCTAACAGTTCCAGTGACAGTAGTTCCCAATATCAACTCGAAATACTGCCAGGAAATTTAAGCATAGGCAAACATGAAGTTACGATTCCTCTAAATACAGGATAGCATAGCGTGCTCTTATGTCGAACAGAAGTCTCCTGCTTCATGCCCAAACCGGAAACTTAGGGAAAAGATGGCAAGTTTCACCGATTTTGGGTCTCCGTTCAGAATCCACAAAACACCAACGTTTCGCCATTTCCTCAACATTCTACTAATATGTATATTTCTTCAAGGAAGCGCAAAAGAAAATAATACCTATGAAAATTGCCAAACGCTTGAAGCGATTGGCATGTTGAGGGCCATTCAACATGGAAACTGTCCTCTATTGTTGTATTTCTCATCAAGGTAACGTACCATTGGAACCGAGTATTCGTGCTGAGATGAGTGCAAAATCCCGCAGAGAAATCGGCACTCAGTCTTTGGAAAAGTGGACTCACTGAAGCCTCCATTTCCGAAGAGTGCGATCCGGCTGGTAGTCAGAGACGAGAAGCAATCCCTATTTAGAGATGGTTGAGGGCTCATCAGGAAAAGTAGGAAGAGAAAGATGCTCATGTCGACTGGACACAGACGGAACGTGTGGCGTCGAGCAGGAGGCGTGTGCTGCGATAATATGAACGTCTCGAAGCGGGACTCGTCTACGGTGCCAGTCTGAACCTCATTCCATTTGAGGGTGGCTTTCGCTCGATTAACAAAATATTAGTTGTTGACCCATGAATAAAAGCTGCTGACGGGCTCCATACGACCAGAGCCTTTGTTCCTTGCACGGGACTATGACAGGACAAAGCCATTGTTCGCTTTTCAGAGAAAACCTTGCCTATAACGATCCCCATTTCGGTAAAAGCATCGATAGGGTAATTTTGGGGAATGTGGCCCTACAAAATGAAACCTGGACATAACAGCCCATCAAAGTTGAATTGGACTTTTACAATGTTTCTAAAATACTGATTCATATCTCCTTTACTAAATCCTAGCAAGGTACCTGCAAAAAACCGCATGGATTTGCGCCTTTGGATCTTTACCAAGTCGTTCCCAAGAGGCCATATTACCCATGTTGTTGGGGGAATATGGCCACTTCTAAAAAAGCAACTCAAGGCTTTCCAGGTACGGGTGAAATATGCTGGAACATGCTGAATACCTTGAAACATAATAATGGAGGCTCAGCAGTTTAAAATAAAAAACAGTTGCATTGAGGACTAGCAAAGTCGAAATCATTACCTGCAACAAGGACCTATTGTGGAAAGCAGGATTGAAACGCTTTTGGCTTTGAGTGGCATTGCACGTGATTGGGAGACTGTTTCTAGAGACTGTGGGACTGTGATGAGTGATCAATCATAAATTAAAGTGAACATGCGTTACGAGTGAAAATTAAGAGGTCTTACATTGCAGGAAAAGCGTTGCTTTTGCATGTATGCATAAATAGTGCCAAAAAATCATAGAATGCCCTTTTACCTTTTTGTACGAGGGATATTTACATGCATACATATTTCGTGCTACGAAAATTTCTGGAGCATGTCAGGCGGATGTCCAGGAGACGGTGCATAAGTCGAAATATGCATATTTCGTCCAGATGTCCAGTACTTCTATTCATAGGAAGTGCATTGGATGATCTTTCGCAGCCTGAGGTCACACATGAAAGGAAGCTGACACTACCAATAGGTCAGTGCAGTGCTAACTTGAAATGAAGGATGTGTCCATATTAACCTAAATCGAGATGGCCATATTCCCCATATTGACTTGTATGACAAAATTGACAACACTCTCCGCAAACCGCAAGAGAAGGGGCTAGCACTTTGCACAAGCATTCTGGAGGGACCATAGAAGAACTTTGAAGACATGGTTTTTGTATCCATGCTGCTATATGGAAATAAACGCTCAAGTTGCTCTAGGCTCATATTAGTTTCAGGGTCATGAGTCAAAGAATCGAATGCATATGAAATTCAAGACATCGATGTATCCCGAATTCCTGTGAGAACTGGATCAATTAACAGGTCTAAACATTTCGATAATTGCAAGTGCTCTTCGATAGAACGATTTTTTTAATTCGCCCTGACTAATTATTCAGTCTGTAAGGGGATTCATTGTGGAGGGCCATATTACCCCAATGGCCATGTTCTCCCAAGTTACCCTATGCCTCGGATCCAGCAAGGGTGGGTTCACGAAAACCTTAAACGTAGCCGGGACAATGTCTTCAAGTACCTTCTTCATGGGACTAGTTTCTCACTCTCTATTCATGTAGATGAGACCGGTGCTTTATTAGAGATGAACACTGAGATGGACAGCCGCGAACGGTCGTGTCGAGCCGATCGGGCCGACCCACAGCCCGCTTAGGCCTCTATGCTTCAGAACTCGGGGTCTCTGGGTTCGTCCTGTCAATTGCTCAAGCTGGTTCGACTGGTTCGGCTGGCTCTGTTGGTTCTACTGGTTCTGTTGGCGCTTCCAGCTATTCCATGACGTCGCATTCGTGCTGGCCTGTTCAGCGCTCTCAAAGTTCACTACGTTTCGCTGGTAGCTGCTTCTCCGAGAGTGATGTCATTTAATGACGTGATCGCGTCGAGCGCTGACGGAAATAGGTGAAAAAGACCCCTCTGAACGCGTATTCGCGCTACACCCGCCCGGAAACTTGATTGCCGACCGAGCTGCACAACACACCTGATCTGCGGGACGAGTCGATCCATTTGAGCTGACCTGCTCCTCGTGCTCAAAATAGAACTCTATCAAATAATCGGGCGTTCGAAATTCGAACGACGTGTCTTACTCGAATGATACGAGGCAGATCTCGCTGAAAATTTGCATATATAAAATTGAAGGTTCCCTGATGACGCAACGCATTCCCTATTATTGATCCAAAGCGTGGCCGTTTGAAATTCGAACTCTATTCCTTTAGAATTTTATGGGACCGCTGAAAATTGCTATAAAGTGAAGTTGGGGATCTCTGAGGATGAGGAGCATCTCTCCTTCATCTGATACCTGAGAGATCCGAATTCGTACGGTGAATCTCGCGTGAATATTGTGCTACGGAACCCCCTGAAATTTGGTGTATAGGGAATTTGAGGAATTTAGGGAGGGGATAACGGGACGCACCCAATATTATTGATCCGAAATATGGGTGTTCAAAATTCCAGCAGTGCGTTTCATTTGAACGTTACGGGATAGAAGTCGATTAACGTCAATTAGGAAAATGTGAATGTTTCACGGGTAGCAGCTAATCTATTATAATCCTTATAAGCCTAATTCTCCATTTGTCTCCTCGAGCTTATAAGCTCGAGGAGACGGCGTCCATATATGGACGCCGAGCTCATTCAGAGAACTATTGTGGTTACGATCGATGTGAAGAACCTTACACTTACTTTTATTAAATCTCATGAGCTATTTCTTAATTTACTCGTCCAATAGCTTTAAATCCTGCTCGACTGACTAGCCCTGTCCACCTCCCCCTTCACGGAGAAATCAATTTTTGTGTCGTCGGCAAATTTGCTGATTTTACTTGTTAAGCCTTCATCTAAATCGTTAATGAAGACCCGAAGGCGAAGCGGTCGTTTGACCTCGCTCTGAGGGACACCGCTTGGAATTTTCCGTCGACACCTCTCCATTCGCCATTCCTCGCTGCTCTCTATCCAACAACCAGTCACTAATCCAGTCGCTCTTCCTTCCCTCGATCCCGTGAGCCTCCAATTTAGCCTGAAACCACTTGCGAGGAACGGTATCGAAAGCTTTCGCGAAATCTAAATAGACTATGTGCACGGGGGTTTCCCTCATCCCTCGTCTAGGTACAATTATCGATGATGAGTTGCACTTCCACGACGAGGCGACATTCACTGAAAATGAAAATGCTGTTGCCGAGATTCAAACGGTCGTGGCAGAATTTGACTGGGCTTTTCCTGAATTTCGGAGAACCGAAAAACCAGATGTGTCGAAGTTAGTTCGAAAAGCCGGCTGAAGTCGAATCCTCCTCTATCCAAGTTTCATTTCCTTTGAATTTTCTGAATTGAATCGTTTGCATGTGTCGACATGTACTCAAACTTGCCAAGGAAATCTGTGATTAAATAGCCCAGATAACAGCAGAGCTTAAATGCGCTAGAACGTTCAAGAAAAAAGTGAACCAAATGTTGGTATATTCTGTGCTTCCAATTTGCCATTTTGCATGGACGTTCAGAAAGGACCATCTGCCCATGTTGCTCCAAGTGGGATTGAATGGATTTCCTTAGGAGCGCTCGAAAGTCACTATAACACCCCTGAAAACGACAAAATGTTAGCTATATGTTAGGTCTTACTCAATAGAGCAGCTGCTGTCACTATTACGACCTCTTACAAGTTAACGTGCCCCATGCCTTTATCGCTTATTGCCAGAATGGGTGAAAAATCCTCTCTGAGGGAAGATGGAACTCAAGCTGCTGAATACTCGACTCACTGCCGCCTCCATTTCGAATCAGAGTGATCCTCCTCGTAGCCAGAGATGAGAAGCAATTTTGGGATCTCTGGGGGCCCATCACGAAAAGCAGGAAGGGAACAAGGATCTTCATGTCGACTGGACATGAACGGAAATACGACTTCGAGGGAGATCTTTCCATCCTGTTCTCAATCGATGTTAACCGCTCGATTAAAAAAATATAAATTATTGACTTTTGATGACGACCATAATGAGAGTTGTCAGTTTCAGTGCCACTTCGACCTTTTTTTTGGTTTCTCAGGAAGACATGACTGACGAAAATGACGATCGCTCGATTAAGTAAATATATGAAGTTGACTTGCGGATAATGACGGCTGTCAAGTACTTATTGACTCATGCATTTTTTGTCTTCCTAGGAAGAACGTCTTCACGTCTTAGAGAAATTGCCCCCTTTGGTTGGGAACTTCCTGTTGACTTGGGTCCAAAAAGGATGAAGTCATGACAAAGTCGACGTCGGATGAACACCACCAAGAAGATAAATATATCGTTTAAGAGGAATCGTAGTGAGTTCTGGCATTCAATGATAAATTTTAGCTCCATTTGTGCAGATACGATAGGGTAAGAAGGATTACGATTAATTTCTCCAAATTTTGCGTGACAGGAAAAGTGATTGGAATATTTTGTTCAGTGAGTGATCGGAAATTCGCTAACTCAGTCTATGCATGAAGCAAGAACGAGTTATCAGAATTTATAAGTTATCAAATTACCCGGCAGATGATGCATTCATTACTGTGATTACATTTGCCTTTCTGTGCATGAAAAGTATCTCCATTTTTGGGGGTCACCATATTTTTTCATTCTTAAACGGGATTGGTGGAATGCATTCTCGGCTTGCTTTCGGGGACGCAATCACATACGATTCTCAGGATCTTTACTACCGAGTGGTTTGAAGTTTTGCACGATTTGATAGTGGCTTTCAATATATTCCGCACTGGATCTCGTTAAAACATCTATGAACTGAGAAAGAAGGAATCACATTGCCGTTTCCCATGCGAATGTGCTTCATTTCGCCTGTTATTCCCAAATATATCCATGTGGTATGTGTGGTTTCCTGTGCCATGAAGAAATGTCGTTCTCATCGTCGATTAGCACAAGAAGAGAAAAAGATTTCAAGGAGCCAGATGATACACGTGAAAAAGATTCCAGCCAGAAAGAAGAAGAAGGCGAATGAAACATGATAGATCCCGATGGACTGCAATTGAATGGATTCATCAGCGCATGTGGAGGAAACATCGAAGACCGTTTTCATTCTCTGCAGTCGATCCAGGATGCCCAATTCCCTCAACTTCAGGATTCTACGAAACAAAAACGTCTCATTAGAATTCTGAGCATCGTGCTGATTGTGTGCAACAGAATGTCAGTATGATTTTCGTGAGATCATGGGTGTGTCTCAAGATATCGGGCTAATCACATTTTCGCACACTCCCAAATAATGACGTAGATGTTCGATTCGCTGGCAATCAGAAGAGAATCTGTCCAAAGGAGAAACAGCAAACCCGTCATGTCGAACTACTTCAACTCACTTCCGTCAACGGACTTCAGTCCGTGATCGCGCCTCGAGGCGCTATGGTGCCTATTTTCAAGAGCTCAATGGTTTTGATCAATATTCTAACTACTGTACTACTCGGAATTTAGCACGTTGGCAGCCAAGCAGAATTTTAAAATGCAATATCTATTACCAGTGATGCACTTGGCAGCCAACGCGTTTAAGATTTAAACAGGTTTAATAAGGGAAAATAATTAAATTAGAAGCATTCAAGTGATACCCTGAGAGTTTTCTGATGTGAAAATTCAAGTGTAGGCTCACTGGAAGTTGAGAAATTTTCTGAGAGGGGATCCTCGCCGAATGAGGAATCCTTTGGGGGAATTCCTCACGTTGTAGGGTATCTTGACGATGGAACAAGCTTTCCCTTCCGGAAACGTTTTCAGCCATATTTGGGCACGTTCCTCTGGTAATAGCACTGCCGTTTTCTCCTCCAACTCAGGTTTGTCGGTCACTTTTTTGTCGTCGAACACCTTCCCCGATTCTGGGTCGATGAACTTTTGGAAAGTCGGGTTGTCCGACTCCTTGCAACAGCAACAAAAAAAGAAAATGGCGAGAAATTGCGAATAACTCGAAAGATTGTTTTTTTTTCCAGTGGGCCTTCAGTCAAATGAGACAACTCCGCCTTATCGGTTAAGCCGTCTTATCACAGCTTCCGCTTTTTCAGGATCGTTTGCAAAAAGCTACTTCCATTGAAATGCCATTGATATCGTTGCAGACATATGAAGACGATGCGTAATTCTGACGTTTCAATTAAAACGAAAAGATACAATGGAATAAAGAGGTCACATTCAAATGCGATTTTGATCTGCAAGTTTTGTTGCATTTGTCTGAAGGTGGTCGGCAGACTTGTGACACAGAAATACAAACCTTCCTCCATTCCTATCATTGTCACCTTCTGTAAAGGTCGCGACTATTTTCGGCATGAGCTTCCCCCCTCTCCTTCCCAGTTCCTTACTCGTAGATATTAAAAATCACGTGACAACGTGTTTTTCAGAGCCTCCTCTTGCCAGCGAAACCTGTGACAACGATTTTATCTTCATTCTCCTGTGAACTTCCCGTAAAAATCGAGCCATAGAAATTGTGAAAAGAAAGGTTCAGCTTCGTTACGACTTTCGACTGTTCGCCTGCTCTGAAAACTGAAATACACATAGGCCTATCTTGAGGACTGCTATTCGTATTAAACGGACATTTTAGCAGTTATGTTTTTTCATCTATAGCTTTCAGAAAATCTACGAAAAATCAGAGATGATAATGTCACGGTCCATTGTATGATCGGGCTGGAATTACTCATATCATATCCACTGTTTCAATTGTGAATTGAAAGAGGACCCGCTGCTGACTATTTCGCTCCCGAACATTCTGCATCACTTTCTGATTCATACCCGGAAATATGATTCCAAGGATCCGTCCAGGGAAATGGCCCATTTCCATCCTTCAAGCTCAACGAGTTCCTCCAAGGTTTGAAAAGGAAGGCGGAATCGCAAGACTGACAAGTGGGATGTGAGAAGGGCCGTGTAGCTGGTCAAGCAAAGGAGGCCCAGGGTGTACGTCCATGCCATTACCATTCTCGTCGACGGTCTCCTGTCGCTGCTTTCCGTGGTGCCGCCTGAGAAATACTCGGGATACAGTCCATTGGAAGTACTCGAAATGATACCAGAATAAGACATTAATTTAAAGGTTGTTCTTAAATGCAGGTAACTTACTTGCGTTTATCCATCGATGGATTGTGTTCCCGATTAGGAACATACCTGATATTGTATCTTTACACATATTGTCAAAAGTGGAAGTCCACCGATACAGATGATTTACTCGTATTATTGAGACATATTAAACCGTCACTCTGGGACTCAGTAACCACATGACTGTTGACAGCAGGTATATATGGACAGTTGGTATCGGAATATCGAAATACGAGACAACAATTGGACATTATGTCGAAGGTCAGATAGGTGAACGCGACCATGCATCAAAGGATTCATTCGTAGAAATTCTGGGAATCGAAAGGTTCACGATACCCCAAGCTTACAAGGGCGAATATTACACCAATTTTGATTTTTTCACTTCTGCAAAAGAGCTATGAAATGACATCGATCCAGCAATTGATGCAAAATACTTCATGTTTCTAAGGGAATGTGTCATCTTGGAGTGGAAGGTATTAGTGTCCTGGCAATTAGGGGAACCTTTTAATAGGTCACTTTTTCATGTATTTCTTTATAGCCCATTTTAGCCCATTAGTTTTCTTTATAGCCCATTTTTTACATTCATTCTAGGGTCTACCTTGTAGAAGTGCAGCATTGACAGTACTCCATAGGTAGGATTGACCCTGACCACCGTTGAGTTTCCCGATCAAGGCGTTGCAGGCGCAAACGAGGACGATCAACATGACCAGGACCGACCAGACCCACACATCGAAGGGTTTGCTGTAGAAACCGGATTCGAACGCCTGGGACTCGGGTTTCATGACGTAGAAGTTGTATCTGGAAAACGACAGGCAGCTTCATCGATACCGTCATAAACAAATACCTGTATAATAGCAGAAAAAATCGTGGAATAATTACCCTTTGTTCTCCAAAGGTGTGATGAAATCTATGGATCCAATTCGTTCGATGGTCTGTCCGTGAGACCCCCAAAATATCTCCGCTTTCCTGTCTATCAAGGACTTCACTTTGTCGCCGTTTTTCACTGGAACAAACCTTGCAAAACGTGAAGCAATGGTTTTTACTTATTACTTTGAGGCAAAGAAGTACGCATGGGTTGGCCATGACCGTTCACCAACCTGAGATCCATGGACTCCTCGAGAACCTTTCGAAGCAAATACTTGAACTCCTCGTAATCCTGGACGCAGTCGAAGAAAGTTTGAAGTGAAATAATAATAAACAAATAATTGCTGCGAAGCACGAATTTGAGCGACTCACCATGAGGCCCATGGCAGTAACGTTCATTCCTCGGAAATGAAATCGACGTTGGAGTTTCCCCCTTTTCTCCAAAATCTCCCCCTGTCGGGTTCTTCGGTCGCACGTTTCCAATGCCCTCATGTAGATGCATCTCGGTCGATCAACGTAATAGGTCTCCCACAAAATATCCAATTCTTGCCTTCTTTCCAAAATGTACATATCGCTAGAGACGTGCGCATCAAACTTCTCGACCAGTGCGTGCAGAGGGCTTGGCTCGTTTCTGCACAACTCTTTTGGAGGTTCCATTGCCAGGATCTTATTTGAATAATTTTTTTTTAAGTAGCCAATAATTTCGCATTATATTTTGTAGTATCCTACAAAGAAAGTGATTTAAATGCCCAATGAGCTCCATACCGAACTTGGTACGTCATTTCCAGATATATCCAGAGCCACTATGAACCCTGGGAACTTGGAATCGCCTGCTTCTGATGAATTTTCTCGGTGTATCATGAGATATTTCAGGGAATCCTCCATGGACCAAAACTCCTTCATCGCCTCCCGGTCCCCTGTGGAAAGATGCGTCTCCTTCTTTCGAACTTGCTTCAATTCTGTGTCGACTGAAAACTGTAGATCTTCGTGGGACTGAATATTTAACAGGGACTCTCATCAGACTGTGATTCAAGTGTCTCAGGAATAGAATAGAAGCCAGATATTATGATTTCTGGTGAACATGGACGTAGTATGTGAAATGCAGTTTAGTCCATTATCAGAAGCAAAGCCGTTTGAGAACTTTCCCCCCCCCCCTCTCACGTATTGACTATTAGCATCCAGTACAGGAAAAAGTAATAATGAATTCCAAGAAATAGCCATCAAAATTGAGTAATAAGCTTTTCAAGATGATGGCAGACGTATGATCACATATGCTATCCCCATAGCTCCTCAACCTTTATGTTCGCAATCCTAAACCTATACAGAATAGCTGTCCTGAAAGCAACCTCAATATCTCTTCTTCTTTTCTTGTGGGGGGGGGGGCGGTAAGATTGTGTCCCATCCTCTATGATTCTCGTTCTGTAGGTTGGCTGCCATCATCTACCACATTCGTTGGGAAATTATCTTGGAATGTGACTGTTTTAGGTAAGGGTTTTGCCAAGGATTGAGTGCATAATTATGCCAAAAAATGCAATTCAAATTACTAAAGGTTCTACTCACTTGCGCTTCCATTCCCAATCAGAGTGATTCTTCTCGTTGACAGAGATGAAAAGCAACCCCTATTTTGGGATCGCCGAATGCTCATCACAAAGAGTAGGCAGAGAAATAGGCTCTTCATGTTGAAGAAGCATGAAGGAGAGTGTGGCCTCACCCACAAGGCGCACCGCGATGAAACGAGCCAGTGGTAATGATTTGTCAACGGGGCAGATCTCTACATCATGCCTTTTTAGGAAATGCAAATTGTTACCTGTGGACTGTGGCTCTTGAAAGACTCCAGTACCTGGCGCCCAATTTACTTCTTTTCCCAGGCAGGCGACAAGATAAAGCAATTCCTCTCCGAATCTGATGGAAACTCCGTGGAATGGGGGCCCATTTGGAAGGAACGATTCAATTGGCTCCGATCCACAAAGGACGGACTCACACAGATGTAGATTGGGGAGAGGAGAGTGTGTTGCTTCACGCCTTTCTATCGAATCCCGATTCTAATTCGTTAGCTACATCGACTAGGACCGACGTTCGCATTAATGCCCCCCATGACACACTTCATAAAATGAGAATAGGTAAGAGCAATACAAAAGATGTTTCATGTGGGAAAAGCCCGAAATGAAAGGAACTAAGCTTCGCACATACATATGACCAGAGGAGAAATTATGCACAGTATGAGCAGGAACAAGTTGAATCATTCCGAATCCGATATGCGATGGCCGAAAGAAAGGTACAGAAAATAATTTGTTTCCCGCTAAACGGAATGGCAAAGATCAGGTGAGACAATTCCTCAGGGGAATGAAATAGTGGGATAATGCCTCTTCTTGTCACTTGCACTATCCATGAAATGGTCTCATCATTCACTTTCATGGCAAGATTATATCTAAAAGGTGCACGAAGCGTAAACAGTGCACACTAGAACTGCCATACGAAGCGTTGAAAAAACCGCGACCTATATAGCGAGATGTTTCCACTTTGTAAAAAGGTGCAACTATTTGAAACGTTCCCCTCAGTTCAACAAATCTCTTGTTCAAAATAATATCTAAAATTTCGAAAATGTTGAAGTCGATCAGATAATGATACCTGAAAATCAGATATGTACACACCAAATCGCACCTTTTTCAAGTTCCACTATCTTTCTGCTATGGGACATTGAATGTACGAATAGAATAATAATGTGCTTGAATATTATTTACAAACATGATAAATGTGCTTCACTGTGCCACTTGGGTATGTTGTTTCAGTCTGCAATCAGCATACCAAGACACTGATATTTCAAGTAGCCAGATGACGCATGCTCCAAAGATGCATGCCAGAAATAAGAAAAAGGCAAATGAAACATGGTAGATGCCGATAGACTGCGATTGGGTCGTTTCTTTAGAACATTTTGAGAAGGCATTTTTTAGTTTCTTTCTTTGGAGTCGGTCCAGGATGCCCAACTCTCTCAGCTTCAGGATGCTGCACAAAAAGTAAGGAGAGAGGATTTAATATAAGTGTCTTTCCAAGCAATAAAATGGTATAACTAAGCAATGACAAAAAAAAGTCAGGAGTCGCATATTTTCAAGACACGAACAATACGGTTTTTTTCTTAGAGATACATCCAACCTTGATATGTTTGACAAACTCTTTGAGAGGTCAGCATACTGCAAGTGCCCCCAATAGAGAAGATGGGAATCTAGGCAATGTAAATTTCAAAATGTTTAAACTAGCGATTTTCTTTTTCAATTTTTCTGCTTTTGATGTACAAAAGCTTTAGGCCAGTGTTACACTAGCGAGTGCTCGCTAAAAAGTACTCGCTAGCAAGAATCAATCAAAAGGCAACCTCGAGGCAAGGTGGAGCCCCACTCCTCCCATGACAGACGTAAATGACAGACATGACAGACGTTGAAAAGATCAACGCGATGCGTCTGGTCTGAGTTCGGGATGCGTCTATATCAGTTGCCGTTCAACGCCAGTGTCGCTGCTGCCCTCATTGGGGTATGGTACATCATCAGGAAGAGTGGGAGGCACAACGAACGAGTTTGGAAGATGCTCTGGCTCTTGAAAAGATCTACTCTGGTGACGCACAATTTTTTATTACCCCACCTAAAAGAGTCTATTCCCAATCACGTCGCTGGTTTTCTTCGAATGAACGAAGCAACCTTCCAGAGACTCTTAGAGAAGGTGGCTCCAAGGGTAACAAATAAGAAAACGGTACTGATCGACCCAACCAAAGGAATTGCTTATTTCATCCCTTCGTTACCTTGCCAGGTGTGAAATTCGTAGGCCACTTCGGCGGGCAGCCATCATCATTGCATATCTCATATTTATCGAGATCTGTACATAGGTGCTCAAAAAAGCAAATTCCCTATTCGTGGAATAGATGACTGGCAGTTTGAAGCGAGTAAATGGCAAGCCCTCGCCAGCGAGTACTCGCTTAATGTAACACCACACTCGCCCACTCGCTGACGAGTACTCGCCAAGTGTACCAGGGCCTTTAAAATGCAACCTTGAGAGATAGACAAAGTCGTGCAGCATGAAATATCATGAGTGAAGGTATTTTTTAAAATAAATATGCCACTAAAATTCGTTGAAAGTTATTCGACTCATTAGACGCAACTCACTAGAAGTTTAGGAATTTCTTGAATTGGGATTTCGGACGAATGAGGAATCCCTTCGTGGCCGTTCTCATGACGTATGGTATCTTGACAACCGAACAAGCTTCCTCTGAAGTCAAGTTTTGCAGCCACTCTTCTGACTTCCACTCTTGGTAGAGATAAGCCATCTTTTCGCTCAATCCATGTTCTTTATCTGCGTCGTACAATCTCCCCGAGCGATTGCTGATGAACTCCAGGAAAGGCTGTTGTTTTGATTCCTAATGAAAGAGTTTCTTACTGCGCTCTGCAAGTCTTTCCACAAAGTTTTTCTTATTCGAGATTGCTAGGAAAAGAATTGCAGCTGCGTGAACTCCCTCAGAAACCCAAGTATTAGCCCTTTCAGATCTGAATTAAGGCCGCTATCGGAATAATATTCTTTTTTTTGCATTTATCAGCTATTTCGTGATTGTTATTGAAATTTTCATTCTTCATATCAGGGGTTCTTAACCTGGGGTCCATGGACCCCCAGGGGGTCCGTGGAGGGTCCATGAAAAATTAAATATATAATTGAAGGTAGCTCCCGAAAAACATCATTTTTAATCACAAAGCCAGGTGTTCCAAAATTTCTGATAACCAGGATATTATGGTATGGATATTATTTGAGGATCTGGGGGGCAAAGCAAAATGTAGGAGCAAAAAGGTTAAGAACCCCTGCTTTATATGATGTTTTTTAAATTCAGTATAAATTTTCCATATCATACTATATATTATAAATTTAACTAAATAAATGAAGATTGCAAAACTACTGGGAGAAAGAAGACCTCTGATGGAAATGAACCATGCATAATTTTGCCCATTCCCAAGCAGCATGTTCACGTAAACAAGATATCAATTTTTTGCAAACAATGTAAATTTCTTGCGATATAGAGAGCTCCTTTTTATTACAGCAGTGCACGGGATTAGGGAAGAGTAGAATGCCAGCCACCCAAGTACTATACTGTATATTCTCTATCCTAAAAGGAAGAGAGCACCTTTGAACATCTACTTCTCCTCCCGAGGTTCCGGTACGGTAGGAGGAAGCAGTAGATCACTAGTACTCGTGGGTGCTGATGAGGATGAGTACTCGTGCACTCGTCCAACAACCCTAAAGTTCTGAAGAACTTAAAGGAATAGAAGATTCAGTATATCAATTCTCTTCAATGGTACAGATTGACTCTTTAAATACGCATGAATGCCAGGGGAAAATTAACGTAAATCTTACGTAAAATGAATGTTAACATGCTGTTTGGAATGCAAACGGGAATGTCAATTTTACGCAAAATTTACGTTAATTTTATATCACCGTTTGCGTATCACAGGGGTGACATTTCTGCAAACATGTTGACATATTCTTGGCAATGGTTTGCGTAAAAAGGATATAAAATGGACAAAATTTTACATTCATTTTACATAAAATTAACATAAACATGCTGTTTGGGTTGTAGCGTAATATGGAGCGCAAAGTCACGAGAATCCTTAGAAATTGCCATAGATACAATGTAAATGTAATGTCCATTGGAAATAGACGCCAGGTCTGAAAGGATTAAAGAAATGAATATGACACCCTTTCTGGAAAAAACTAAAAACAAGCAAATGAGTGTATGCGTCCAAATATGCATGAATATGACTTTGATTAGCATATTTGTCTGAAATGATTGAATTGACCATTTTTCCAACTGCAGGAGCTGAGGGTGTTGGCAATACGGGCGATGTGCCGGGTCGCAAGTCTCCACCAACGCCCCATCATCATAACCATCAGCCTTATTATATCGTATTCTCTGTTCGACTCGTGAATTGACAGAAGCTCTACTTCTGGGCGTTCGATCCTCCAGCAACCTGCATTGTTTTCTTATGCATACCTGAAAGTATGATTCCATGGATCCTTCCTTTATAAGGGCCCACCTCCATCCTTTGAGCTCAACGAGTTCTTCCAGAGTTTGAAAAGGGAGATGAAATCGCGAGACAGACAAGTGGGATGTGAGGAGTCCCGAGTAGCTTGTGAAGCAGATCAGGCTCAGGATATACATCCACGAGGTTACTATTCGGGTCGAGAAACTCCTGACATTGTCTTCAGCGTAGCCTAGAGAGAGATTAAGATCCTTTGAAAATCTCGGAAATTGAATTAAAAGACAATAGAAGGAAGTGATTTCGAGAGAGATCAAAATACGCAAACTCTAATGTCGTTTAATAGTCCTTGCACATTTTTTGGGATGTATTACTTGTACACAAGAGACTCAAGTTTCAGGATGATATTTTTCATCCATCATTAACATTTCTGTAACTGATTCTTTCTGATTAACTTTTAAATTTCACATGCATGAGAACATCCCTACATCCCTAAACTTAAAAAAAAAAACAGTTTCAAGAAGCCTGCATTCAGAAATACAATTCCCATAAAATGTGAATGTATTTCAATTTCAGTATGTAAGAGAATCATCCAAAAAGTCTCAGGTATTGTTCCATAAAGGGTGCAAGTAGCAAAAGAAACAAACTATAGGACATAGCTCAATCTTATCCTATTCAATTTGTTCTCCAAAATTAACGATGCCCTTCTGTCTTCTACGCGGGAATATTATTCCATGCACCACATTCTTCGCCAGAGCATCGAGGGAACTCTTTTAAGGCTCATCTATTTATTACAAGATCTCAAAATTGTGACTCCAGAATGGTTTCTTCATCCTGGAGAACAATAAATCAAGTTGTGCAAATTGATTGAATTAGGCATTTGTGCGAGGATTTCCCAGTTCTAGTTGAAAAGTATAGTCAGCACGTCACGCTTGCAATACGAAGCATTCTTTTCGTATATTTCCATTTACGAGGCGTTCTTTTCATTTCTTGCGAAAAGCCAGGTGAGAGTAATGCTACAGAACAGTCGTAACAACCATGAGCGCCACTCATTTGTCATTTCTCATTCTGCGCGTGTTCATCACTAATCGTCACTAGTCATCTTGAGAGGGGCGCATGACAGTTGTTTTACCACCATAGAAACCCAGAAACCATGGCCTCACTGTGTCGCACGTTGGATAAACATTAAGCGTAGGGTCATGCAATTAAGCATGAATTTCCCGGGTAGAATTGCTCCGCAACAGCTCGGATACCTTAACTCAGATATTTGGTCCATGGCCAACTCATCCATCAAAGTCACATTTGCATGAGCCCAGGTAATGCTCTATAAGTGGAGTATGTTGCAACTCCAGCATTTATTCAGCAATAAGTATGAAATCACTTGCTGGTTTTGTTAGATTTTAATTCTCGTGCATTACCCCACCAACAAACAATACTTACAACTTTTGGATGACCTTGATCTCTCGTTATTTTGTTAATTGTTTTGTGAAAATATGAAGTGGAACATGAACTAAACCGTGAATAATTTCCATATTTCAAGATGAAACGTCAAAGTTCCCTGTATTAGGAAAGGAAATTCAGATGATTCTAATTTACAGTCTTTAAATCTGGTATTTTAGTTATACATTGTTTCCGTTGCACTCTATTCCTGTTGTTATCACCTCGTCTTCTATTTTAGCTTTGCTTCTGGATTTTTTCTGTAGTCTCCACTGCTCCATAAACTTTCCCTGGAGGATCTGATGGGCACAAGCTGCCTATTCCGCCCTCCCTCCCCTCATTCGCTTAGCATGCGTACTTATATATAAAGCGTTTCATGTCTAGATTCCCATTGGGACTACCTTGTAAAAGTGCAGCGCATATGGTGTTCCAGAGGAAGGATCGTCCTTTGTCTCCACTGAAGAGACCAACCAAGGCGTTGCAAGCGCAGGCAAGGACAAAGAGGACCAGCAATGCCACATACAAGTGCACGTTGAAAGGTAGAAAGTAGAAATTCGATTCAAAGGCCAAAGCCTCGGGTCTCTTGATGTAGAAGTTGTACCTGGAAAATAACAGGCTCCTTTAATCGATATCATCATCGAAAAGCATCCTGCTGGTAAGAAAGTACCTAAGGTTCAGCAGAGGTGTGACGAAATCCAGGGATTCAATCCGGTCAAGGTCCTGCCCGTGAAGGCCCCACACTATTTCCGCTTTCCCTTCTTTCAGTAATCTCTTATAATCATCGTCTGCCCTTTTATCATCCACCCGCACGAACCTAGGACATGCAGCAAAAAATTATCATCACACTGCGTGTCGAAGGTGAGTTGCATTTTCTTCAAACTTCATTTATTCAACCTGAGATCCATAAGCTGGTCCAGAACGATGCGAAGCGACTGCAGGAACTCGTCCTTAATCTGGACAGACGTTGATCACCCTTGGCAATAGAAGCTGTCAAAGACCTGACAAAGCTGCTTCTGTTCTAGCTCGGACTTGAACGACTCACCTTTCTGTTCACGACGGGAACGCTCATTCCCCGGAAATGAGATCGACGTTGGAGTTTCCCCCTTTTCTCCAAAATCTCCCCCTGTCGGGTTCTTCGGTCGCATGTTTCCAATGCCCTCATGTAGATGCACTCGGGTCGCCCAACGTAATATGTCTCCCACAATATATCCAATTCTTGCCTTCTTTCCAAAACGTACATATCGCTAGAGACGTGCGCATCAAACTTCTCGACCAGTGCGTGCAGAGGGCTTGGCTCGTTTCTGCACAACTCTTTTGGAGGTTCCATTGCCAGGATCTAGTTTGAATTATTTTTTTTAAGTAACCAATAATTTCGCATTATATTTTGTAGTATCCTACAAAGAAAGTGATTTAAATGCCCAATGAGCTCCATACCGAACTTGGTACGTATAAAGGTCTATATAGGTCTCGGTGATACTTGGGACCCTTGAACCTTAGCGGACGAAGACTACTTAAAAGAGCCACATAGTACTCTATAAAGTCCCTTAGGAGGTACCTGGTTTTGAGGAAGTAGCGGTCCCGGTCCCCTGTGGAAAGATGCGTCTCCTTCTTTCGAACTTGCTTCAATTCTGTGTCGACTGAAAACTGTAGATCTTCGTGGGACTGAATATTTAACAGGGACTCTCATCAGACTGTGATTCAAGTGTCTCAGGAATAGAACAGAAGCCAGATATTATGATTTCTGGTGAACATAGACGTAGTATGTGAAATGCAGTTTAGTCCATTATCAGAAACAAAGCCGTTTCAGAACTTCCCCCCCCCCCCCTCTCACGTATTGACTATTAGCATCCAGTACAGGAAAAAGTAATAATGAATTCCAAGAAATAGCCATCAAAATTGAGTAATAAGCTTTTCAAGATGATGGCAGATGTATGATCACATATGCTATCCCCATAGCTCCTCAACCTTTATGTTCGCAATCCTAAACCTATACAGAATAGCTGTCCTGAAAGCAACCTCAATATCTCTTGTTCTTTTCTTGTGGGGGGGGGGCGGTAAGATCGTGTCCCATCCTCTATGATTCTCGTTCTGTAGGATGCCTGCCATCATCTACCACGTTCATTGGGAAATTATCTTGGAATGTGACTGTTTTAGGTAAGGGTTTTGCCAAGGATTGAGTGCATAATTATGCCAAAAAATGCAATTCAAATTACTGAATCTTCCACTCACTTGCGCTTCCATTCCCAATCAGAGTGATTCTTCTCGTTGACAGAGATGAAAAGCAACCCCTATTTTGGGATCGCCGGATGCTCATCACAAAGAGTAGGCAGAGAAATAGGCTCTTCATGTTGAAGAAGCATGAAGGAGAGTGTGGTCTCACCCATGAGGCGCACCGCGATGAAACGAGCCAGTGGTAATGATTTGTCAACGGGGCAGATCTCTACATCATGCCTTTTTAGGAAATGCAAATTGTTACCTGTGGACTGTGGCTCTTGAAAGACTCCAGTACCTGGCGCCCAATTTACTTCTTTTCCCAGGCAGGCGACAAGATAAAGCAATTCCTCTCCGAATCTGATGGAAACTCCGTGGAATGGGGGCCCATTTGGAAGGAACGATTCAATTGGCTCCGATCCACAAAGGACGGACTCACACAGATGTAGATTGGGGAGAGGAGAGTGTGTTGCTTCACGCCTTTCTATCGAATCCCGATTCTAATTCGTTAGCTACATCGACTAGGACCGACGTTCGCATTAATGCCCCCCATGACACACTTCATAAAATGAGAATAGGTAAGAGCAATACAAAAGATGTTTCATGTGGGAAAAGCCCGAAATGAAAGGAACTAAGCGGCGCACATACATATGACCAGAGGAGAAATTATGCACAGTATGAGCAGGAACAAGTTGAATCATTGCGAATCCGATATGCGATGGCCGAAAGAAAGGTACAGTTTTATTAAACAAAGGGCGATTTGCCTTACCGTTTCTAGTCCACTCTGTTAAGGAGTCCCCTTACTTTATCACCCTATTACGGAGAAGAACAGTGAACGTGATAGGTACTTTACCAGAGTAGTAAGTTTTTCATGGCAAGATTATATCTAAAAGGTGCACGAAGCGTAAACAGTGCACACTAGAACTGCCATACGAAGCGTTGAAAGAACCGCGACCTATATAGCGAGATGTTTCCACTTTGTAAAAAGGTACAACTATTTGAAATGTTCAAAATATAGAGTTCCGAACTACGTTCGGAACTCTATATTTTGAGACGAATTTTTGTGGTCAGCAACTCTGAGGTATATCAAGGAATCCTCGTTGGACCAAAGTTCCTTCATGATCTCAAGGTCGCCTGTAAAAACACGTGTAGTCCTCAGAAAGTACCAGAAGCAACTAGACTGAGGGTTGGAATTTTAATGTCCCGGCAATGGAGCTTGAACATTTTTAGGGATCCTTCTCCTTACAGATATGACAACACTGATTTGGTTTCTTCCTTCATATTAATAGTTCCAGTCGAAGAAATTTCTTACGCACCTCCCTCCATAGCCCTTTCACTCTTCAGCAATCTTTTCCAGATTGATGTGCTTTCTACTGTACACTGTGCATTCAAGTAGGGTCGATATGCCAATTTGTATGGCCTAGAATGCAACCAAATCGAAGTTTTCGTCTTGCAACCACTTTTCTTAAAATGTTCTCTGACATTCATGCAGACATGCTGTATTCTACGAAGTGCGTATCTATAGACGCAACCCAACGTTTGTCTCCGATATCACCTTTATTTTTTTTTACCAAAATTCATTCAGGAATTTGCTCCCCAAATAGCTGGGAATTCCCCCCCCCCCCACAAGCCCTAATTTCGGCACCATGATTGGATTTGCTTGCCAGCGTCCCGAATTCGAAACAACTGCATGTCCACGTCCATGCTCTGCTGTTTCTCTCTCCTTCTCTCCAAAAATCGAAAATTTTAAGACTGACAAATATCCAAACTCGCGAAGAAAGCATTTGACTCCGTTACCCCAATAACAGCAAAATCTCCAAGGAACAACTTGCGACAGTCGAATGAGATCAAGATGAGGCATTCTCAAGATCTTGAAACATACGAACTCGTGCAACAAAGCATAACACAAGGATGCCTTCGAACGCAAAGGAGTGACTTTCCGATTTAATAAGGTGCCGAAAAGCATGAATTTCCCCGACGACAAAATAAATTAAGCCAAAGTCATCGAGTAGAAGTAACGGCCCTCTTTGCATTGATGTAATCACTACCCAATATGAAATGCCATTGAATCACCCTACATCCCCAGGCGTGCGCGAGCCGCAAACTGACAGTCACTTCCTAGTAATTCCCAACTTTGAACAGATTAGTGGATTTGTTCAAGAACACATGGAAACCAAAATGGCACCAATGAATATGTTGCTACCTTACGAATATCATTGTTGCCCAGCCGCTGCGAAGCCTTACTGGAGTCTCCGCGGTGTCCTTAGACACCTAGCAACTCTTTTAATGGGGCAACTGCCCTCAAATACTCAGTATGTCGTCGAGTTAACGTACGAGGGGCGTTCAAAAAGTTTTTTACCTGAGGCACTTTAAGTCGTAATACGCCATTCATATTTTTTTCATAGAAAGAGAGATGTCTTTGATGATGAATGGAAAATTTTCAACTTATTTGTCTATGATGGAAAGCTTCTATGAAATTTTTTCAATGTGCTACCAAAGGGTATGCTGAAGGGATATTAAAACTGAAACAAATCCTGTGATGAATTTTCCAACCTTGAAGGAGTCGGTGTCTCAGCAGATCTTTTGTCAGCTGAGAGGATACTGTTTTATTGTCCCTACTCTGCAAGATCCAAGAAGGAAAATGACTCCTTCAAGGTTAGAAAATTCATAGCAGCATTCTTTTCAATTTTAATACCCTTTCAGCAGACTCCTTGGTAGCACATTGAAAAAAAATTCATAGAAGCTTTCCATCATAGACAAATACGTTGAAAATTTTCCATTCATCATCAAAGACATCTCTCTTTCTATGAAAAAAATATGAATGGCGTATTACGACTTCAAGTGCCTCAGGTAAAAACTTTTTGAACGCCCCTCGTAGCATCTGCCCGTGTCGGGACTGTGTATTTCCTAGGAATGAGTGCACAAACTCTCTCAAGACAAATGAAATTCAATCTACAAAATATCCGACCACTGCCGTCTCCATTCCCGATCAGAGTGATCCTCCTCGCAGTCAGAAACGAGAAGCAAGCCCTATTTAGGCATCCCTGAGGGCTCATCAAGAAAAGTAGTAAGAGGAAGGGGCTCTTCATGTCGACAAGACACGGAGGAAAAGGTGAAATGAAACCATGGCATCGCCCAAGAAACGGCCGACGATAAAAGGAGACTCTCATAATGATTTGTCAATGGGACTTATCTCTACGTGCTATTCTCATTGAATGGGTTCCTCTCCAGTACCAAACTATGTCAAACCTTGTCTATAATTGTTTACTCGAGGACCCTGGCTATTGTAAGGTTTTGTACACCTGGAGTCTTGTTTCTTTTTTTTCCAAGGAAGACAATAGGACAGGGCCATTCTTCCCTGTATCTCAAAGAAACCCCGTCACAACAGGTAATTTCGGCTAGTAATTTTTTGTAGGCAGTCAAGCTCTGAACCAACAAGGATGAATTCAGGCGAGTGCTGAAAAGTTTGAAAGTCTTCAAGTACCACCTCCCTGCATGAGTTTTAATCTAATTTCCACTTCTGTTTAACTATCCCAATAAAGGAGGCTGATCACTTATTCAGCAGTAGCGGATTGCCAATGGAAGCAGGATAGGCCCGGGCCTACCCAACTTCCATTGACGATCCACAACTGCTGAATATCACAAGCCGCCCGTGTTATTCAGTCATGAACTCTATTATCCCAATATGGAGAGAAAGAATAGAGACCTAAACACTCTAATAAAGTCTCCAAGACCAGGAATAGAAAAGAAGCACGAACAAATTCGTATGTAGAGTCTAAACATAAACACTCTGAATTAAATTGCGACTCTGGAGCAAATAGAAAAGTGAGTTGCATACTCTCTTCGCTTCAGACAGACCTCAAGTTGTCATACATCTATTCGCTCTTAGAGCGTGCTTTGGGCCGGTCACGGTTCATACGAGGTAAAATTCTGAACCCTCCCTGATTTCAATGAATGAGGTACCGATTTGACATGTCTTGCCCTTTGGTGTCTCAATTCATGCACTCCTAGTGACAATCTCCTAATATTTGAATTTATAAATTAAAATGTTTTAGATGAAGTACTGAATAAATATATCCATACAACATTAAAGAAAGTTCTAAATGATGTACTGAATATGAAGGTATGGTCAATTCTTGACCATAGCGAGAATATGACAGTGCCAATTGAGTACTTTGTATTCGACGAAAATGCGAATGTAGTATTGAAATGCACGTACAGTAAAACTTCGGATATTCGAAATAGTCCGGGGAAAGGCAAGCTTATGCAAGTTTGCATGCTAGGTTGGACCAACTTTGGCCTAACACATTTTTGCTATCTGGGACTCTTTCCACAATGATTCGTAGGAGAAGGCTGCATTCAGCTAAAGATGAAATATGTATATTCCTGTATACCTAAGAGCGGATCACAATCGAAGCAAAGGAGGTCTCTTTGGTGTTCTGCAGACACATCCCTAGTGTCTCGTCGTGATCAATTGGGATAAGAAAAGTTAGGCACCGTACGTACCGTGTCTAGGCAATCAAACAAAGCGATAGTCGAAAAAAGCTATTGCGGGGAGGGAGTAGGTAAGGGTCATCTGTTACGGTCGGTTATTAGATTATTTGATTTCGCGGTCCTTACTTAATAACTTTACAGCTTTAATTTTGGGGAATGGCTCAAAACTAAAAAAAAAAAATTATTCTTGCTGGGGTGCCACCCCGTCGAATTCTGCCCATTTCGAGGTCTGAAAATACCAGTACTTGTCATATGCAAGACTGGAAGAAATGTTAGTTCAGCTAATGTCGGTAAGCCCAATTGTTTGCATGATGATAAGTGAATTTTCATCGAAATCACCGTTGCGAATTACCATTTTTTAAGTTTTTACAAACAGTTACGTTCTGGCGCGCAAGCTCTTGCAAAGTGCCCATATTTCAGGCTCTTGTAGCATCGAGGTGAATTGGGAACATAGGGACAGCCACGGAAAACTTCTCTTTCATACTAGGTAGGAGTACCTTAGTAGCATATAACATTGAAACAAAATTGATTCAATGCTGATTCAACATCCGAACGTTGAAACAACGTTGAATCAATGTTGATACAATGTTATATGCTACTAGGATAATGTCTCAGTTACAATTCAAAAGGCTGGACTTGGAAAAGGTGAATTATATTCTTTTGTCACTTAAAGAACGAAGGGTAGCAGGCGCTTGTTCCAAATTATTCACTGACTGGAGAGAGACTCAGAAGAAACTTCAGACAGATGCAATGAACTTGTTTCGCTGATCTTAGAAAAAATAGGTTCCTTCGTTCACCACCGATGTATTCTAATAAACCTTATATGCGGGAGTGAGTACGCGACACCTAGCGAGAGAAAATATAACTACTGCTTGATCAGGATGCAGACAGAGATCGCTGGCGGAATTGTTTAGGTTACTTATGTTCGTGATGTCGTTCTTCCGTGCGGCGTGACTTTGCCGTATGTTTCGCCGCCACTGAATATGATTCCTGTGGTCATTTGAAGCAATGATTTATTTTCCTAAAGTAATGTTTGCCTTATTTAGTCATATTACCAACTTGCCCAAATTAACGCCTGGGATATTTGCATCCAGGAATTTCAAAATGCTGAATTTAATTGTCGTCTAACTTGATATCTGAAAATTTACGCTTGCCTATTGGCATAGCCTTTTTTGTCTTGCAGACGATCAAATCTATCATAGGCCTGACAAGAATCATTGCAGTACATGCAAGTACGTTGAGATTTACGCTTGTTAACAGACTAACGTTAGGCCCACATGATAAGGGTTGATAAGCCTACTTCACATGATAAGCCCGCCCGACCTAGTTTTGCCTCAGCCTGTTGCTAGGTTCGAAAGTTTAAGCCTCCTATTACAGTGGTTTTCTCTCGAGTCTTACAATTTTTCACTTGAATCGGACATTCATGCATGGGAGTTCCTAATCCGGAAATGAATCAAGGAAGAAAAAGTCGGCCTCAGGGAAAAACTCTGTATAAAACCTTAATAATAGGCCTAGAATATCCGTTAACATTAAGCCTATACTTGCTCACAATTTCTGTTTTTAGACGCTAGATTTCTTGACATCTGATCCTATGGTTGGCCTTCATGGAACTGACAATTCAGACAAGTTGCACGATGAGAGTGACCTGTTTATGTTCGATCAGCACGAGGTGGTTAATGGAACCTCCAATGGGCTTACAAGCAACACAGAGGAGGCACGTTCCTACAAGCGTGCTACCCTAGTGGGTTTCAGGAAGTCAAGAAGCTTCTCTGAAAATGGAAGTGTGAGTCCTGTGTTCAGCTAGCTGCTGAAGATGTTCTGTGAATCCTGTCTTCCTTTTTTTTCTTAAGTAGATGTTTGATTGCATCTTATATATTCTCAGGTGCTTCCTTCATTGAGAGGGATACTGAAAGGAGGGCGGCAGAGACGGATGTCAGAGACATCTGGGATATCTTCTTATGACTCCTCTGATGACATCTTCAGCTTTGGTTCCTCGTTTCATGATCCTTCCATAGATTCTGATATTCATGAAGAAAGCTGTGATGAATCTGGCTCATTCAAGAAGACAGTCCGGTTTAATGATGTCGTTTCTCGTCAGTTGTACCGGTAAAGTGGCTCTTCATCGTTTAAATAGGCATAGATTACAATTAGTCACTCCAGAATCTTCTGAAATGTTAATGTACCTTTTTCACTTCAGTTTGAAAACTTGCACCTCTCCTTTCTGTGTTGAAGCAAAGGCAATTCCTACAAGCCAAAGTTGTGTGGACAAAATATAGAGGCCCTAGCTTTGCTTTATTCCACCACTAGCTGAGCCAGATCCAATTGGTAGAAAACTGCATGGGAAAGTATTGAAATGTATGGGTTTCTATCATCAATATGGGTTTCCCACTAAGGCTGGGTTTTTGGTACCATTTGGTGTCCCTGTGTAAAAGTCTGAAATATGGAAAATGGATGAGATCTCATATCCATCTATTCCTTCCCATGCAGGATTCCTTCCCATGCAGGTTTATATCCAGAATTAATTACTTTTTCCATAACTTCACACATGTCTTCACTTCACACTCCTCCCAAGCATTGAGAGTATTGCCCTCATCAGAGCATCTAGTATCACTCTTTTTTTCTGGGCAGCAATGCATACCAATGAAACCCTAGAAATTGGTGACATAAAATCTAAAATCTGGGGATTTGGATATTACTTTCAGCGATGCAAACCCTTACAGTCTTTGACTGAAGTGTTGAATGAATTTGAACATTAATATATAACATCAATAAAGATTGCTTGAGCAAAGGTTTTGGTTGAGACAGTGCCAGATAATGAGTTGTTGGGATGCTTCCATAGCCCCATTGTGAAATTCTAAAGCAATGGTACATGATCTTTTAGAGGAAAAGTTGTTGTCAGCAGGCTTATGACAAACTATAAAAGAAGCTAAAGCTCTGAGCACATCTTGACTCTGTATGTTTTGTCAGTATCAATGTTTATGATTTGGAGAGAAAATGTGAATTTCTGGAATCCTTTATTGCAGGTCAAATTCCAGTATATTAGGTCAGAGAAAGAAGAACCAGCGAAAAGCTATGAAGAAGCGGAGAGCAGCTGAGCGTCGCACTAGTAACTGTGAAAGTGAGAGTGAATCGTGGTTGCCCAAGGATGAGATGAATGAGGTCATGCAAGACCTCTCTGATCTCTCCCTAAGTAGTACTGGTGATGAAGAATCAGGAAGCAGCACCATGGATGAATGTGAGAATGGCAATGCCCCAAGTAAAAAGAATGGAAAAAAGAAGAAGAAGAAAGGGAAACGTGACAGACGTAACAACAAGTTGACCAAAGAGACCGAAATGGTGCTCAGCTCCAGTGTTTGAGTTCTTTCATACCTCTCTGGGAAAAAAATGCATGAATTGCACATAGTAAAATGAAATTGTCCATGATTTTTCCAGATTTTTAGCCATGAAGTTTAGCCTCTTCAGTGTGTTACTTTTTTCAGGGATATCCTCATATATTGTAGTGATCCAGGAATAATGCCTTTCCTATCTGATTTTTTGCATGTGCTTGTTTAGTTGGATTATTGTTGCAGATTCGTATTTGGTTTTTTTTTTCATATTGTGTTATTGGTCTTGTCAGTTCGTTTCATCAGTACTTTGGTACTTGTCAGAAAAGCAAATATATATTTGTAGGAACTGTTTAATAAGCCTTTTGTAGTTTTATTTCCTGTTATGTTGCATTAGCAGTTAGTTCCCATCAAGAAGGGGACAGTTTCCTAAGTCACCCTTCACATTCTTCTGGCCATATTCTTGCCTGAGAAAATTAACCCTTTCATGCATGATATCCACTGTAGTGGACGTCTCTGATTTTGGCGATGATGAAGGCTTTTCAGCCACGGCTCACATGCCTCGGAACTTCTGGTGCAGGCAGTCCACTCCAAGGAACATCAGCTATTCAGTGCTGCATCCCAGTGGTGAAACATGCGACTACTACGTCAGTGTACCACCTTAAACATTAAATCAAATTATAAAAAAAAACTTTTGTTTTGCCGGAAATTTTCATGCACGAAAGGATTAATGTTCTTGGGAGCTGATATGGATGAGCCAGACGCGTGGGCCCTATCAAGGGTTATCTTATGCTTATCGAATCATGGACGACGAATGAAGAGGAGAAAATTCTGCTTCCGGGAGATCCCCATGGAATCTCGAGTGGCATATAGACAAGAATTAATTTGCAAGAAATAATTAAAACACCACAAATTGCGTGGTCAAGAACATCCTTGGGAAAGAATATCGCACAAGAGGAATAAATCTGAAGTAATTACGACAAAAATCTCGAATCGCATACAAAAGAAAACATATTGATAAGAACGTCGTTAGCAAGGAAATGTTAATACAGAGTGAGGTATACCGTACCAGAAAATCCGTAGACTCCGAAGGAAGCGGTGGCTGCCGATCAATGCTTTCAATTTTGCGAAACCTGAATACACATGACAGGAACATGTGATCATTAATCACCCGTGTGCTCGACGAATCGTGCATCTCCCCTCTGACAACTCCGACAGTGTTGGTGACAAACTGGTCCTCCTCAGCAAACCCATCCCGCCACTAGGAAGGAGAACCCAGTTAAGTATCATGTCCTAGGAACAGTATATTTCTGCGTTGAGTCCGAGATCCGGCAGGGATGGTTTTGTAACGCCCACGCTATTTCCCGAAGCGGTTCCTCCATTCGTTTCTGGCTTCACAAGGGAACCAAAAATGTTCACCCATTTCCATTGAATTGCTGCATCCGTACTTACTGAGACTCGCTCATTTATTTTCGTGGATAAGTAGCTCTACGATTCCTTGATCGAATACAATTCATTCCACGGAAATACGACAAATACATCTGAACAATTTTCTTTTGCGGTGCGATGTTGAATTCGCAGTTGCGCGTGTGTTCTTTTCTCTCACAATAGGATAAGCATCCTTGGAGTCGTGATTCTGGGAGATCGAGTAGTTGTGGACTAGGCTGACAACAGTTGTAAAAGAAAGTACATTCAATAAATATGGGTAATTTCGATCCTAACTTCGTTTTTCGTTTTTGTTGTCGATGCTTGCTAAGAATTCTTCATTAAAGGATGTCTATATTAGCACGTGCGAGCTCAACAGCAATATTTAACTGCGCTACAAAAATTTTTTAGATGAAACTGTTGGTCATATTTCCTTTAAAAAAAATTGTTTTCCATCAGGAAGGAGTGGCACTATTTTATCGAAATTGCATGAGCGCGTCGTAATTAGCACAGATGTAGCAATCAAATGAATAAGGCTGAAGTCTTTTATGGCTCACCCTGTAGATTGAGTCCAAACATTTCTTCTCTAGATATGTTGCAGTACATTTTTTCTTTCATTGGGGTAGAGGAGCTTTAAGGAATTCTCCCTCTCTTCGGAGCTTCTCCCCTCCTTTATATGTACTCTTGTCTACGCGATTCTGGGGAACGACATGAGGATTGGGAAATGGCGAATTTTTCTTCCCTAGAGTATTTATGACCCACGCGATTCTTTGCGAACGGAAAACCTGGATTTTCGCCCATAGGTATCGTTTTCTTTCATACGGCATATGCACCTTTTTTTCATTGCTGCGAAGTAGAAGACTACTTGAATTGGGCTTTCTGGTCTGAAAGTGTTATTGGCCACGTGCCCTTGGACACAAAGTGTGCCCTTGGATCACGAATGAACTCCCACAATCACGAGAGAGCTGCGGCCGAACTCCTGAGGTCGACATGAGGACTCGGAAATTCCACCCTTCCATTTTGCTTCCGTCACAGAACGAGGAAAAGCGAAGCAAAAAGAGACCTTGGACACGGCAATCTCTTGGAGGGCTAAGTGCAGGGATATCAGGGAGAGACCACTCAAAGGTGATTGGGACTATGTTACTGTATATTTGCCCAAAAGTTGTGTTTACAGGCGAGGCTTAGGTTTACATAGGCATGTGGCAAGGGAAGGTATAGAAGGAGGCTATGAAGACCGTAGGGATGACGTCAGGGGACGAGGGACTTGACGTCTCAGGGCAATTTCCGTGGGACACCCCCTAGGGATCCCCCTTAGACCTCTCCTTGGGGATTCTCAAAACATGGATCGAAGGAAGGCCGTCCTTTTCCTATAGCCTCCCTCTCTCAACGTGATGACCTGAGTTCTTTCCTCCCCCTCTCCTCCATTCATATTGGATCGTCTTTCGAGAAATAGAATCAGAACGAGAGAGGCTACAGTTAGAACGATTCGATATACGATCTCGGTGCCATGTTGGAAGCGAGAGACGGCAGGTGATAGTCGTGAAATATCGCAGGGCACGGACGATCCGCGTGATGCAACTCGGCGCAATCTGCTGCGATTGCGTAGCAGTCGAAGCAACCTCGCCTCACTTGTCTACAATCTCGAGAATGTCAGCAAACTGTGCTGGATCGCAATGCAAAAAAAAAAAAGAAATATATCACGAAGGAAATTCCTGCACACAATGAAACTTTTATTTGGTTGAAAAGCAAACACGTGAAGATAGATCACACCGTTTCACCATCATCCTTGGATTTGGGATCGTTGAAAACCGGGATGACGTCAAGGGAATGGACCACTCGGAGGTGTAGCTTCAGCTCGTCCAACCCCTTGCAAAAAGACGAGCACCGGGGACACTGATATCGCATGTGTTCCGTATGGGGCAATAAGTCCTCACCCGACCGATCGCAGTCGGGGCACCGAAATCGGCCCTTCTCGCTAAAATGAGTGTGGAGGTGTTCGCGAGCGTGGCGAGATTTGGCAAATGTCCTCGCACACACAGGACAAAGGTGGGTCTGCTCTTTCACCTTCGCCTTCACCGCTTCGTGCCTCAAAGCCACGTGGTTCTCCAGCTCGGCTCCAACGTGGAAGGCTTGAGGACAAGCCCGGCATGGGTAGGGCTTGGAACCTCCGTCGTGAGAGGGAAGGTGAGCGTGAAGGCCAGCCGAGGTCGTGAACATGCTCCCGCACATCGGGCAGGTGAACGCTGCACATCCCTCGAAGGCGTGCTCGATCAGATGGAGCTGAAGTCGCTGCTCCGTCTCAAAGGCTACTCCCCCGCAAAGTCCACACACGTGTTCCGGCCTCGTCTCCCGGCTCAGCTGTCTCAGATGGAATCGTGCATGGAGTTCGAGTTCAGCCTTGGAAGCAAGGCTTTGTCGGCAGATGATGCAAGGCGTTGGAAAACCCATCCCGTGATGCTGTCCCTGATGGGCCAAGAAATCTTGTTCCGTGCCCAGCGTGACCTTACACGTCACACACGTGCTCCCTGTGGTCACTTGACAGTGAACCAGCCTGTGCTGAGCCAAAGTCTGAGCCGTCGGATAGACCTCGTCGCAGATGTTGCACTTGTGCTTCCCATTCCCCGTCTGATGATTGTGACCCTTCATGTGTGTTTCCAATTCCGACCTGGTTTTGCAGTTCTCGTTGCAGTAGGCACAAAAAAGGCTTACAGATTGGCTGGTTCTCATCCGGTTTCCATGCAATTCTCTTCGGTGCTGACTCAAGGCTGACTCTGACTGGAAATCCAGGTCACAATGCTCGCACTTGAAGGCAGACATGTTCTGGACTTGGTGACAAGTCTCGATGTGCCTGTCCAAGAGGAACTCGACGTGGAAAGCCTGCGGACAGAGTTGACAGCGGAATTCCCGTCGGTGGGAGACCCTGACGTGGGCATGAAGTTCATCAGGGGAGACAAATGAAGCATTACAAAGGAGACATTTCAATGGTTGCAATTTCTTCAAGTGATTCGCCCTGACATGGACGTGAAACTCCGCCTCTGTCTTGTATCCCGCCCCACAGACGACGCATTTCAGTAGCTTGCATTCGTCGCTGTGTTCCACGGCGAAATGAACCTGGATTGCGACTTTGGAGTCGAATACCCCTTGACAGAGGGAACATTTATACAGATGCAGGGCGTGAATGTCCATGAGGTGCTTCTGGAGATCATCGGGTCGAAGAAAGAGTTTCTGACAGCTCTGGCACCCGTATTCCGTAGTCGATGCCAAGTAATGGGAGACCATGTGGGAATCCAGAGAGTCTTGGTCGGGGAACTCCTGGTGACATTCGAAGCAAAGGGACTTGTGTCGAGTGGACTCCAGGTGTCCCCCAAGATGAGTTCGGAAGGATTCGAAGTCCCGGAAGCCTTCGTTGCATTGGTTGCAGAGCCACGTCCGACCCACCTCCGCAGCCGTCGGAGTCGACATCAAAGACCAGGGAAATACGTCCAGGAAATTGTGCTCCATAACCAGATGCTTCTGTACGTCTCGAATGGACGGGAAACCCGTGGGACACAATGCGCACGGGAATCCAGACAGCCCGTTCAATCCATTGCCTAGACATGCGCGAAAAATAGACTGTCAACCAAATTATTCTCATGGTTTTAACTGTGAGGAATGAAACCCACTCGTTGGAGCCTCCTCTTGGGCTTTCTCCTCGATCCCCTCGGTAGAATCCTGGTTCTAAACGAGAGGATTTATCCGTAATTAGGGCTGGAAATAGATGAGCCAGGATTTGTCTGTCACGTCATCCATATATCTGTCGATTACACTGTACCTGTTCCGTGATGGGACTAGAAGTCTCTCGGGTCGATTCCATGCCGGGCGAAGAAGAATTAGGCAAGCTGCGATTGGCCTGCTTGTGATTCTGCATGTGAGACGTGAGAGCCGCTGCCGTATTGTATCCCCGGTTGCAGTGAGTGCATTGGAAAGGCTTTCCTGTGTCGTGGGTCTTCACGTGGATCTTCAAGTGGTCACTGAAGTCAGAATGATCGTTTCAAAGACCCAAGAAATAGTCCATCCGGAAAGGGGAGAAGGGTGGGGAGGGGGGGGGGGGGGTAGATACGACGGCCCCACATGCAATACAAACCTGCGCGAAAAAGCGGCATCGCATTGATGGCAGCGGTATTTCTTGTCTCCCGTGTGGAGCTTGATGTGTCGATCCCTACTCCTCTTGTGTTTGAATAGGCGCTGGCAGAAACTGCACTTGAACGGCATCTCTTCTCCATGACTCTGCAATCGTTCCATTCCCTTTTCTATATATATCTAAACCAGTCACTTTGAATCCCTAATCGAGTCTGATTGATGGAAATACTGCACAATTACATTTGCATATTCAAATATGCGGAATTTAAAATTTTGAAAAAGTTAAACTTTTCGTAGGCTACAAACACACTTCATCTTTCATTTTATTTTTAAATATTTTATTATGATTTTATATCTTTAGCAACTCGCCTTTGAAGTAGATTCATCGTTTTTTTTTTCATTTCGCATTCTCTTACTGAGGAGTGTCAGCAGATTTGGTAAAAATAATATCAGTTCCGACAGATTGAAATCCACTTTCATCCATAAGAGATGCGTTGCATTAAGAAGTACATTATAAAAGTGTCGGGAACGATATTTCATTTTCAAAGTTCCGAAAAAAATGTTCTCCGTCCCTCTCCCATGAGAAATAGAATGTGAAACACGGAGACTGGAATCTCGAGATCATCAGGGGAATCTCGAGTTCGTCGACGGATTTTTTCTGGTACTCTTTGCATCGGAGTGCAGACATGAAGTTCAAGCGATTTTTGATGAAAATAAAGAACTTCACTTACGTTATTTTTCGTTAGGGTCGAATGCATGAATAAATTGTAGCCCTTTATTATCGGGCGTTCTTTTGAGGGAAAAAATAATGGATTTTCATCTCCAAGCGTTTGAAACCTGAAGTACCGCAGGAAAATCTATTCGCCTCCAATCCTGTTTATATGCGAAAAAAAATATTCTTCTTATATTGAAAGACGTCGCTCGTGATGTTCAGCCTATCACCCATGCCAAGTGCCGGAGCATCTCTTCGCATACGGTGACGCATTGAAAAATTATTGTGATTTGACAGTTGTTTCATCCATGACGCCGTGATTCGACTGAAAAGAGCTCCTGAGTTCCATGTTGTATGCGCCGAAACTCTATTTTCTGCATGAATTTCAACCGCCAATTGTCCATTTTCTGTCAACAAAACATTATACTACTCTACGAGGATAAACGCTGGAATCCAGATTCAGTGCCAAAAATGATTTAAGTGAAAAGCATGGTAAGCACTATATTTTACGTGGCGAAATTCGTCCGATTTCCAAGTGCGCAACGCTATTCACTTTCAGGAAGGGAAATGCTAGAACAAAAAAAGATTTAGAAATCATCCATGAGCGGATCACAAAAGGTATCTAATATTGGAAGTCGTCGTTCATGAAGTGTTAGAGCATGTATGAACTAATGCTGGCGCATGCCTCATTGTCTGTGATTGGACTGCTGTTTTATTCTTATGGCAATGAACCGACTTGAAAGCGCTCTAATCGATGCCAATTAGTGCCAATTCCTGTCATATATATTGGCACTTGATTTCTAGCATGACTCTTGGTCGCCTATCACCCGTGTTTTGCCTTACATATACTGTATATATAGAGGGAAATATTGAAGTACAGGTAGAGACTGCTGAAAATGAACCGTTCGTGCTGCACGCCATCTTCTACTTGCCGAGGATTCGTCCAGAACGGCAATTTCCAAACGTATTCGTAAAACGCCTATATTCACTTTCTGTGATCAGAAAGTAGGATGAAATGCGCCGAAAATTAATTGTAAACCATCTAAAAGGTGGTTTAAAAGGTACATTACGGCGCACTGCTATCGGCGATGTACGAGTACTTACCTGTTCATGTTTCTTAAGATAGGAGAGTCTGGCGAAGGACTTGTCACAGAAGGAACAATGATAGGGAGGAGGTCGATCTTGAAGATCCGGATCTGCTATGCTCCCACCTGGCGATCCCGATCCCGACCCAGATCCCTCGGTCGAGATCCCACTCCAGCCGCTGCTTCCACCCTCACCTGCTTCCCCAAAGCAGTATCCATCTTTTAGAATGCCTCAAATTCCTTTCTTGAAGAATCCAGCGATATTCGTACTGCCTCCATACGAAGACAGAAATAAATTCCTGTATTCTCAGGCTGAGATCAGTATACCGAAAATAGAATCTATATTGTATTTTCTGCTTTATGGTCTGGAAAAAAAGCTTCAACGAGGTAGGACTGTAATTTTGGCCTGGACCGTACGCTTATACATACCGAATAGCGTAGTTGCTGTACACGCGTGCATTTCAGCCACCTTCGCTTGGGTTTCCATCTTCATGGCCTGTTTTGTATGGCATATCCCCAAGCAGCAAAACTTAAGCATTCGATTGGAAAAGGGGTGTAATTATCCTGACAAGTAAGGGCAATCGCTCACGCAGCAATGAGTCAACGGAATAATGCCATTGGAGAGTGCTCCCATCATCTGCGAATCACAGTCTAAAGTTTACGTTCTGGCTTGGATTGGAATTATACGCACCACACTACGAAAAAAAGGCGATGTTCTTGAAGACCAATGTACGAATCGGAATGCGTTCCATTGTTGAACTGACGAGAATATTTGCAGGCTTTCTCACGTCCTTTGTTATCATATTACGCACAAAGGTGCGCAATGAGGTTACTAGGTATGAATATTAGAATTGATCGGTGAAATATGGATGCAGTAAGCCAGTTCCTTCTTGGCGATCAATCTGATGTGGGTCTGGGCTCCCTTCAAGGCTGAGGGCATTGACGAACTGTATTCTTAGAATTCTATATTTTCTCTTCCCGATGGCTTCGTGTCTTCGCTCTCGAGATGCAAGAATGAAAGCAGCCGACAGATTAATCGGATGAATGTCGGTCGTCTTTCGATTTAGGCATTCTTCAATCGATCAAGATTTTGCTAGAAGAGGGATTCTTTCGTCGATATCTTCAAATAATGCAAGATCATCGCCCGCACTAGCACCAAAAAACCAGTGTTGTTCCAGTACTTGAAATCTCAAGTACTGAATCACCTTCCGTTATAGAAAGTAATTAACTTTTCAATTCAATTAATTAAGAATAATGAGAATATGATGTTAGGTAATTGAAGTCCCGATTACTTTTCTTTCTGTTGCACTCTTTTTTAAAGCAAGATTGGCTCAAGATGGATGGCAAATAGAATTTCACTCCTTGGACACGACTTCATGAAGAGCTTTATACTTGTATCTACGTGATAAGAGAGTTAAAATGAATTGGGTGATTAAAGAAAGAGTTGGGGAGTGGTAGGTATTTGTCAATTTTTCCGTGGGTTAAGCGGCTACGATAGGGATACGTCTTTTGTCGTCAAAACAAGACTTCAACAACTTGCTAAAGTTTCACCCCAGGGCAGTGGCGTGCAGACGCCTTCCTAGCGGGGCGCTTGCCTCACCCACCTCAGGGGGTGCCACCACCCAAGCCTTTTTTTCTTTAAGGACATCCTCAGAAGTCCAGTCAGATGAATGAGAGCAATCGATTGAAGTGAAGATAGCAGCTGACAGATCGCCGGAACGTAGAAGAGCCGCAAATAAGCTTCAGCCGACGACGATGCTCATCACTCTGGTTGAGCAAAGGACGAGGACGAAAGCGCAAAATTCACTGGGACAATCGTGCCTAGACTACAGAATTGCAGCGCAATACGACATCGCCCCATGCAACTTCTCACCCCCGAAGTTTATGTTAACGTTTCACCCGTAACAGCGCATTTAGGAGAGGCTCGACCGATCTTGAGACTATGGATGAGCACGAAAGCCGTTTTGTTTCACCTCTCAGGAAAAAAACCTCACCCCTTAGAAAACGATAGTAAATTTGTGGGGTTAAGTTAATGAAATGTCGCCGCAAAAACATCCAGGGATTCCGGAAATCCCCCTGAAGCATTTTCCATAGAGACTCTACCCGCAACCCACTCGAGCGTTTTCCATGGAAACCATAATTGTCCCCCGCCTCTTTAGCTAAGTCCCAGCCCAACCCGTGTTAACGTAACCGCACGGGGCCTAAACAAAACATAGAGCTTTTAAGCGGCCGGGGTGGGGGTATCCAAGCTTCATGGGGTCTTCCTCCCCACTCAAATTTTCGAGTCTGCACGTTACTGCAGCTGGATGATGCTAAGCGGGAAGGGTTATGGAGAAATGCCTCAAATGCAAGGTAAAAATACATAATGAAAAGGGATATGAATCCCCGAATAACAACGCCAAATCACATGAAAGTGATCATGCAATCTTTGCAAACTCGTGAGAAAGATGCATCGGAGGAGACTTTAAAAACTCCTTTCAGCTAGATGAGGTCGTCCTTTAAGTTTCGACTCATTGGTAACTCGATGGGGAAGGTGAGATGACTGACTGAGGAAAGATTTGCTTGAGATCTCCGTGGGGAAGGCACGAGGGAATAGAAAAATTAATCAGCCGACCTCATGGGGAATGCATCATCCGAAGGCTGAGTCTTGTCAAGCTCCTGCGGATGCTTTTCACAATCCCCTCCTTGAGGGAAATGCTAGAGGTCCAGGCAAGGCCCCCCGATGGTGCTGCGCAAAACTTTAAACCGTATCCGCCTTTTTAGTCTCACTCTGCTTCCCGTTACATAACCTTGACTGACTAGTGCGCAAAATCCCAAAATCAGCTATAAATTTGGATTAAGTTCCTCACTATCGCCAAAAAAAACTAATGTCGAAATGACAGTCAAGTCTTACTGTTTCACATTTAAAATACCATGATTAAATAAGGAAGTCCTTCATATCGCATAGATTTCAATTATAATCGACAGAGCAAGTCCTATTAAGTGCACACAGACAGACATGCATCCACCCATCCATTCGATACGTCATAAAGCAATGAAAGAACCGGCCTGAAGAGATCGATCTTTTGTTACAAATTGCCGTGCCACGTGGAGAGACCAAGCCGGTAGTGCCTAATGCAGTAGCAAGTGGTTATAACGGCTCATTCCTTGGAATCTTTCTATTCTTTGAACGCTTCCGTCGTGGAGCAGAAGAGCCTCAGTCGCTTAACTTTGTTGCAATTAACGTTTAGAATTTGATCAAATATGACTTTTATGTAGACGGGAAATTTCAGAATAAGCTGGGCGAGTGTTACGCCTCGGGATTTTTTTCGCACGCCTTGAATAGAGTGATAAATTGCCTATTACTCCCAAATCCCCTGTTATTCGTAATTGCCACTCGCAGAGGTCATGGTAACGTAACGTAATGAAAAATTATGCTTCACCATTTTAAGTTCATATTTCCATTCTTTTTCAGGAGCTCATTATTTTTGGTTAAAAACTAACTTCATTTTCATAGAATTTACGAGTTTTTGGTTATCTGAAAGGAGGCAGAGGACAGCGAATCGTCGATGATTCGCTGTCCTCTGCCTCCTATCAGGATCCTGATATCCGCCGATGAGGCAAAAAGAGCGCAAGAGGAGGGTATTTTCCCAGAAGGGAATATGCAGGTTAATCCTTTCAGACCCTGCCTACTCCAGTGGACACCACATTTCCTGTTTCTCTCGCGCTTTTTCGTGATTCCCGTGACGTTGCGCCCCAGAGTCCATTACGATGGACATTATTCTGTATGGCTGAACTCCGTAGGAAGCCCTTTCATGGCTTTCATTTGAATTATTCACGATCGGAAAAAAAATTTCCGATCCGATTCAGGTCTGAAAGGGTTATGCTAATCCCATCCAACACTGCAAGATGTCCTCGTTGAGGTGTCACGCTCACGCCTTGTCTTATCTTCAGCATCCCATCCTTCTCAACCCTTGAGACCCTATGTTTAATTGAGGTTGTTGGTGTTAAGAGAAAAAATATTGGCTTCTTGATAGGAAAATTCCAATAATGGGCAATGTATCGAAATTTCATAGCAAACCTGTGGCATACGAATAGACGTATCTCACCCGGGAAAGGGTTTAAATACTGGCTCGGGAAATTGATTTCGACTAATTCCCGATTGCTCCAACTTAAGATACCATCAACAGTCTTGACTTCACTCTCTCCCTATTCTTATCAGTACAGGAGATGAGCTACGCCGAAGGAATCTAGCTTGTTGAAATTCACAAATGCTGGATTTAGGTCTCAATTCACTGACTACCAGCATGGTACTAAGCCAGCTGGAAAAAAAAAAACTTCTTGCGGAAGAACTTCTAGCGAAACCTCGCAGCTTTCCCTAGCAAATGGCATTCGTGGTACGGTGTATAAGGCGACATGCACCGAATCGATGCTACTTGAATTTATCTGAGTCACTGATTCCCATAAATGTCAGTTATGAAAGCGAATAAGTTCAATTTCAATCGAAATGACCACCGTAGAACGGCCCCGTTTTCTGTGTTAGCTTGCCATTATAGAGAATAGAGGAGTAGTCTCTCTAATTGATAAGTTACAAAATAGCGTAACACCTATATACGTATATCACGTTTAAAAAAAATCCTATCGGGATCCAAAGAGGTTTTTGTTTCAAAATTCTTATAGGGTTCCTATAATTTTTTTAAAATGCGGAATATAAAAAGCGCAGCAATGAAAACGAAGCATGAGAACGAAACTTTCTTTAGTCCTGATCAAAGTATGTTAATGAATTCGGACTGCAGATAGCGAACAGCTATGTTAATCTTTTCGCCTGCCACCGTTTCGTAATTTCATATGGAGTCAAAATATCAGCAAAAATGAGAGCAGATGAATATGAGAAAAACATGAAAAAAAATAGGTGAGACAAACCTCGCTGGAATCGATGGATCTTCTTGATGAGATCCTCCAACTTGGAACTACGGCCTTTGAACAACATTTCCCAACGGAGCAGAGACGGAGACTGAGGAAAGCGGGAGGCGTGGCCCGCGGTATCATTCACGTCCGGATGGGGGGGCGCTGGAGGTCCCCCACCTCCTCACGTTCCTCTCTACGCGGCCAGGCCCAAGGATTGGTGCCACCCAGGGCCCTGGCTTCCGGTGCTTAGCTTGTCATCGGGATGCCCCAAGTGAAGAACAATGCTCTCTCTCCCCCTACCCTTTTGCTGTAATTACCTGTCATTACATCCCGCCGGTCGTGACCATCAGAGGTCCCGTCCTTTCTCATGCATATACTCTGTCGTACGTGAGCGCAAAAGCCCGTCTCAGATCCCCCGATAATGGTCACACGTGGGTGGAAGCAAGGGAGCTAGTGGTGCTCAAGAGTGACTCCTTCTGGGAACTTATGCCGGGAGGAAAACAATAAAAGGAGATCAAGATGATAGAGTCGTTAGGGGCGGCTCATTAACTTTCCAATGGGGGGTCGGACCGGACAATGCGGCCCCCCTGGGGGTCTCTGGACCCTCCTGGACAACTCAATTCTGGGCTACCGGCTCCACTTCCTTCCCGGTCGGTCATGCAAGCAAAGCAAGGAATAAGATCCATTTTGCGAAAGGCAAACTCCCCAGAGAAGTGCGTTAATTTTCTGGGGAAGTGCACTTGGGGGAACCCAGGGGACGAGGATCTTATCTGAGCTAGCGTTTCCCCAGGGGCACACAGGGTTCTATATCGACTTCTTCCCTTCCTCCTATTACCATTCTGAGTGCAAAGAGAGAAAGTCTCAGAGAGGGATTATAAAGTGAGTGTAGATGATATGCCAAGTCTCAAAGGAACCATGGCGCTCTCAGATTGCGAGAAGCATTAAGAGAAAATGTATCTCTGCTTCTCATGTGCTTGTAGTAATATTCAAAGAAAAAAGAAAGGAAGGAGGAGGAGGAGGAATATTAACAAAGACGTATTCCCGAGAGAGAGAGAGAGAGGGCTGGCAAGGATTCCTGGTTGTGCACTCCAGAGGAGGTCTGCATGCCACTATGGGACGAAGCAGGGGGTCTTGGGTGGGGGGTGCGTCTCCCGACCCCCACTGGTGAAACCCCCGGCTTCACTCCCCTCCTCTCTCTCTCTCTCCCTCACATGACAGAGAGAGAGAATGGATTCTTCCCCCCCTCCCTTCTCCCAGACCCCCCACCTGAGTGTGATTCCATCTTATTCTGTTGCAGCCTTCCTGCCGAGGGAGATTGCGACGTGTCTACTCAGCGTGCGCTCTGGCTTCTTTGCGGAAGTATCTTTCTGCAGAAAAATTTTTAGTTCTGCGCCGGATGATTAAAGCGAAATTGTGACCTCTTTCATCTTGCTAATCAGTCTCATTGCCTGTTGCTTTAGTCACGCGATGAATAAAGCAAGTAGCTGCAAACAGTTAGATACAAAAACTCGGAACAATATTCCATGTCAGTTCCTGTCTGTATCAACATCAAGATGTTTCATTATATATTCATTCGTGATGACTTGGCATGTAAAGGCACATCTCGATACGCTTAGACCCTGACGTCATTCAGGTGCTCTATTTGCATGGCTGATAATTGCGAGACTTCTACGACAGAAAAACGTTTGTTATGACTAGTACCTGAATGATTCCAGTGCTTACAATTTTTCGAAATCGTACTTCCACACATTCCTGCATTTATGTGCATTCCTAATATGATAATGCAGAAGAGCATGTGCGTGGAAGATCAATTGTTCCACCACGCAGCTTGTGTCTGCTGATGCATGAATGCAACGCTCATTATCACCGAAGCTTGCCAAAAAAATGCATTCATGAAGATCCTATATCTTTGATAGCCAGATAAAAACCGATACCAGCTTTCATTAGGCTATGTTAAGTAAAGGCCTTCCGTCCTTTGTTACTGAGCGGGAACATCGGGACCTCAGGGGCAGAAATCTAATTTAGGCAATATTGAAACCTCCCAAGTTGTGATATGATTAATTATATAATGTACAGTAGAAGTGCAAAAAATCATATAAAATATTTCCAATATTGCCAGACACTCGTCCGATGCCTACCATGGTAGAAGTGACGTCATGACGTCAATTTTTAATTTCTGGTCCTGTACTGTGTCTTTGAAAACGAGAAAGTCCCACTCCTTAATTACTTTCAAGATTTTTATCCTGTGCCTTGATGAATAAGTCAAATTATGTTTATGAGTCTATTTGAGCAGTTTCTTTCTCCCTGAAATTAACCATCGAACCAGTACTAAAGGATGTTTTAAAAAAAGAAGCACTAACTACAGATTAGAACATGTGATTAAGGCTGTTGAAAAAAAAATTATTTTCTTTCCGAGAATTCACTGACTTAGGTGCTGCTTTTCCCAGTCACATTTCAAGTCCTAGATAAATCTATTCAGTAACACCACTGCTTGTGTTCATGTTTGATTGTTGAGGAGCTCCTCCAGGGATGGTCGGATCCGAGCGAATTAAGTACCGGTGGAGAGCTTTAAGCCTCGAAAATCTGCACATCTCATCTTCGTTGATTTCGTGAGAAAAATGAGGGAGCTACGACCGAATTTGGGTCTCGAAGTCTGGACCAAATTGGCAAATCCTTTTGATTAGGAACTAGTTTGCTTAAAGTATGTAAACAACAATTATAGTCCTTTCTTTCGTCATTTTCACTCGATTATTTCTCTTCATTGTGTAATTGTAACTACTTTTATTCCAATATTAATAATTTTATTTAAAATACTTCGGTACTTTCCTAGCTAAGTTACTTCAAGTCATCCATATTTTAATGTCCGGTCTTTTCACCGGGTACCCGTTCCAGCATGATATCGCCATTCGACGAAGATAGAGATTCAAAGTCTCTCGCATTCTCAACCCAATACAAACCCATTACGTCTTTGAAGAGCCCTGTGTTTAATGAATAAATACCATGCGAGGTGACGCTTAGATGTGATGAGTGAAACTTAATCCCATTAGTGGTGCAAAGGATGCTTTTAAATGCATGCTTCAGGTAATCTTTTAATCGCTAATCTTTAAACCCACGAAGAGTTTCAACTAATAGGATGTATGATGTCGGTATGGTGTCAATGATGTTCGGAAATGGGTCAACTGCTACTCGTAGAAAGGTAATGGGTATGCATGCGCATACCCATTATCCTTGCATCATGCTTGTAATAGGTGTCGAGTAACGGTGAAGTATGAAGAAAGAACAAGGAAGAGAAAGGTTTTGCATGCCTCAACAGGTGGCAGAGAAGCGGCTTACTGAACGGACGACGCCTTACGGAAAAACGTTTGCTTAAAGGTAGCGATTGAAGAAAACCACGGAGGCGAAAGGCGGAGAGCCTTTGTCCAAGATAACTCGATCCTTCTTGGGAAGCATTCATTTGCTATAAATCCAAGCAGCAATGGAAGAATGTCAGGCTGGGATGGAGCCTCACCATTCTGGGCTCACCTGTAGTAAGGCTGACCGGCCTGGGAAGTGTAGGGTTTGTCCATGATCAGAATACTGCGCTCTGAATGCTTCCCAAGTGGGTCATTACGTCCTTATATCCAAAGATTAGTGGGTCTTTCAAGTGTGCCAAAAACTTCGAAGGATTTGCGCTCGACTGTCACGGAATACAATACAATTTGGCTGACAGGGGGATTATATTGAGAAAAGCGCACAGGCAACGTTATAAATCTCTGCATAAAAAGGGGGCCGAGATTGGGGCGTTTTAATTTTGGCCCCAGGGCAATAAATGGCCTCCACCCCACGGCATCTTCCTTCTTTTCTTTTAGTGCCAGAGAGTTGGCCGATAATTTAATTCGAAACTGCAAGAAATGTGGAATAAAAGAGTAGTAACGGAAATAAATATATGGTTTTACCAAAATAATTTTAAAATGACAAAACTGTCAAAATGTCAACTCTACCATACTACCAGTGGGAATCGTAACACCTGTGTCGAATTTATGGTGAAATGAGTTCGTGCATCTATTAACCATGCACTGAGCGATTTTGACGTGTTGTTCCATTTTTATTCGCTTTCAAACCTTAACATCGATCATTTTCATGATTGTTGCCCTTGTTTTTCACCATGTGAAAGCAGAAAGAGAGAGAGAGAGCTAATCTTTGCACCACCTGATAGTATCTACAAGGGCTTTCAATGATGTAAGGATGGTTTTATTTTTTTTTGTCTATCAAATTTTATGATTGGGAGGTAGAATGGCCCATAAATCTTGAAGATTTATGAGTGTGTGGGAATGGTCTGTTCTCAACCATGTCGGAATTAAATTAAATGAGCACCCTGCAGCCGAAATCGTAGGCATCTGCATGGTTCAAATTCAAGCCGAAAGAAAAAGAAATGCAAATATACAAACTAATTTAATTATTGTTTGGTATGGAAAATTATTGCTCAAATGTTTAATTTAAAAAAAAACTCCCCATGTCTCACAGCAGAAAATTGTCAGCAGTTTTTTTCCCTACCAAATATTAAATAGCCCCAGGTTCATGTGGAGAAGCTAGATGCTGTCAGTATGTTATTCTAAATATCGTCCTCCTGTCTGCCGAATTTAATCGAACTTCTGAAATGATCCAGTACCAACGCTCCTGAGTTGGCACGACTCCAACCAAATCTAGCAGATTGCAACGAACGCTTTGAAATCGAGTCGAATGCGATTCACATCTTGAAATGGATTAAGAGAAATTGCATCGTCGGATAGATAAGCTCCACTTTTTGCATGGTAAACTGTTTTAATCGGAGTCCTTACCTTCTTTAAAAATTGTAATGGGTTAAAACTAATTACATAGTCATCAGCACCCTATGGGTGTAAATTTCCGAGTTTCTCCAACAGCTAACCATATCTAAATTGGCTTAATGAATTATATTGGCCTGGCATATTTTAAAACATTTAAACGAGACTCGTGCCTGCCGGATTGCAGTGCTAAACCAACCAACTTGCCAAATTTAATTGCTCAGCTCCTCGTCTCCTAGTCTCTGAGAATTTTGGAACATTCATTCACTCATCCGTCCAC